AAAAATTCCATTAATTTTATGATTTCTTATATCAGAAGTTGTAACTTTGATTCTGAGCAGAATAGAATTATTAGCAGATATAATTATCAATATTTTAAAATCATAATAGTACTTGCCATATATTATCCAGCATATTATTGTGTATTCAAAATAGCTTATTGAAATATAAACCATAGTATTAACTAAGTATATTTATTCAAAATGAAAAAAATCAGATTCATGAATAATAGGCACTTTTAAGTAAACAGTTTTAGATAAACTTCTAATATTGTAATAATTACTATAGCTTAATTTTTTTTTTCATTTTGATTGCTTTAAAAATTCTATTAATTTTATAACTTTTCATATCAGAATTTGTAATTTTGATTTTGAGCAGAATAGAATTATTAGCAGATACAATTATCAATACTTTAAAATTATAATAGCACTTTCCATCTACTATCCAGATGCTTATTCAATATATCATTATGCATTCAGAATAGCTTATTAAAGATATAAACTACAGTATTAACTAAGTATATTCATTTGAAATAAAAAAAATTAAATTTGTGAGTAATAGACGCTTCCAATTGAACAGTTTTGAATAAACTTTTAATACTATTTAAATATATTATGCAGAATATAAATTTTAAGTAAAGAACTTAAAGAATCCAAATAAATTTGACTTCTAATATTAATTTTTATAAATAGTTGTAAATTTAAAAATCAAGTAAATATAATAATTATAAATCAGAATTATTATCTTTTAGCTAATTATAATAATGTAAATTTACAGTTTACATTAATAATATTACAACTGCTAAAGGTTGTAATTCAATATATAACTATAATTGTTACTTATAATAATTAAAACTCTAAATGAAGTCAGATCAGATTGGATAATTGGCTTGACCTAATTTAAGATGAGTTATGAATTTAATAATCTAATTCAAATATCACAGATTAGTTTAAATATCTGATCTGACCTTTTATATATTATTTATATCAAATTGAATTAGATATCTAATCTGCTAATTTATTGATATTTAAAAAAACATTTTTTTTTTTTAATAAAAAAATGAGTTTGTTGTTTTTTAATAAAAAATATTTTTTTATTTTTTTTAATTAAAAATGTCAAATTATATTTTTTTTATTTCTTTTAATTAAAATACACTTTTTTTTATTTTTTAATGAAAAATATTATATTTGATATTTTTGATTAAAAAATAATATTTTTGTTATTATTTTTAATAAAAAAATATTAAATCCAGAATCCAAATTAAAAAAAAAGGTAGATATATAAAAAATACTAAAACATTTTTTTTTTAACTTAAAATAACAATATATATATATATTAGATTAATGAATTAGATCATGACTAATTTAATCTGAAGTCAAATCATTAAATTTACTACTTAATCTGAATTTTCAGGTTAGAGTTGTTTTTCTAAATCTCTCCAAAATTCTATGATTAGTTTTTCTAAAAATTTACAATAATTTTATATTAATTTCAATAAAATTTTAGCAATTTTAGTATTTATAATAAGTTTTATTGAGTTTTGCTTTTTTTTAAAGTTTTACCAACTTTTAATATGACTTTTATATAGTTTTAACCAAATTTTACTATTTTGGCATTTTACTAACTTGCCAAAACCCTTTAGTTTCTTTAGCAACCTTACCTAATCTATCAGATTAAATTCAAAACTCTAATAATAATTAGTATTATACAATTATCTTGACTTTTAATAATTTGAATTTAAACAAACTTTTTTGTTTTGTAAAACCAGACTTGTAAAACTAAATGAAAGCTATAAATAAAAAAAGTTTATTAAAATTGAATTACTAGAAGTCAAAATAATGTATTATGATAATTATACTGTATATAAAAATAATTAAATTACTTATAAATATATTTAAATATATAAATATCATGTAATACATAGTATAAATCTGATTTGAAGCTTAACTTCTTCACCTCCTTTTAAATCAGCTAATTTCTATTACATCCCTAATAAAAAATCAGAAAACCATCATATAATGAATATGGAATTAGTAGTTTTTTTGTGAAAGAACTATTAAACATAACCAAATTTTATTATTATAATAAATACTATTACAATCTTATAGATAATTCACTGCTTTATTCTGAATAATAATATTTACAAAATTTCTAAGCCTTTGAATTTATTTCTTAACAAATCCTTTGCTTTATTCAACTTTTCTTATCTATTAAAATATAAGTGAATGGTTTTATTCTTTCAATAAAACAAACCATTAGTTACAAATAAATCCCATATTACTTGATTTTGAATTGTATTAATATTTTTAATATCAAACTTTATGATATTATTGGTTGAATAAGCTTTGTATCCATATGCAAAAGATTTGTAATGATCATCAAGCAGTTTAAGGATAATATTCTTTTTATCTTTAAAGGTACTAGAGATTCTGATGCAGAATATAAATTTTGAATAAAGAACTTGAAAATTTTAAATAAACTTGACTCTATACACAAATTCCAAAACTACACTTCAATCTTTTACTTGTAGTTAAATACTATTATGATAAATTGATAATCACCATCACTTGTTACTAAAACCAGAATATTAGGACTTTCTTGAAAGATGACTTCTGCAATTTTAAGTGTAAAAAAGTTATTGACTCCTTTCTTATGGTTTATGATATTTCTATCAAACACTTTAACATCAAAGCCTTAATCCATAATTCTATCCTATAATGAATTATTTGGCAGTGATTGGAAACCAATAATGATTGGTTTACTTCCAAATTCATGATTCTCTTTAAGTATATTGATAAGTGAACCATAGTCATAGGTGATATTATTATATTTGCATCTGTAATTCATTCCCTCATTCCTTTGAATAGTAGTTAAGAAGAAATTAGAATTATCAATAAAGATATAAGCAAGTTCAGATTGACTTATTCTGGTTACTTAACATGTAATGATAGAAAGAATCAGTGAATAAAAGAATGTGGTAATCAATAGATACTCAAAGTCATTTAACTGTGATATTGTACCTTGTGTGAGATGGACCTGCTTTAATATGAAAAAAAGAGATCAGACATAATTGACATTTTGTTACTGCAAATTTCTTGTTTGAGAGGTAAAGCATTGGGAGACACTCATCTGGAGGTGGTTGTGATGGTGGCAACAATGCTGATGTAATCTTCAAATATCTTTTTTATCATTACAGAAATATAATCAAAATAGTTGTATCATACAATTGTTTACATCTAGATAATAGTTATGTTTTCCAGGTTGAAGTTTACAAAAATGAAAATGACAATGACAATAAGAAAATTGATGATGAGAGAATTCCGCTTGAGGAATTTAAAATTGGACAACTCAAGAGGCTTATCTCTCATAGAGGAATGTTTTGGAGGTTCTGATATAATAAATCTTTGCAAGTTGACATCGATGAAAGTGTGCTTAATCATAGATCTACTGAAGCAGATAGTGAAAACCTTGGAGGTGTGATTATGAAACGTCAATGCAAGTTTATAAAATATTTTCAAGATGGATATAAACCTATGAAGGAGAAACTAGATTAAGGGTATACTATATATATACTTTTCTGAATACATCGTTGCATAAACTTTTTGTGGCTTGTAGTGACGTAATACAGCAAATAAAATGGATACTTCGATAAACATGGTAATTTATCAGTATATGAAAAAAACGGTTTTTATCATGACTCATTAGATTTTGGTTCTCCCGACGAATTCTCAGGGTATTTATTAAAAAGTGAATTAATATTACGTAATTTTTAGGTCGTACGAATGGTCATACGATTATCGAGTATTTGGTCGATCAGTGTGGCTTTTTTTTGAGCCGATTATGTATGACAAACATATTCTTTCCTTGAAACGCGAAAAACAAATTATTGAAGTCCAATTCAGGTATTTTCGGAGTACTTGCAAGAAAACGATTTCGAAGCTTGAAAAAAAAAAAATTTAATTATAATGAATAAATAAATTAACAAAATCAACCCATTTTTACTTAAATTAATTATTTAAAGTAAAACAAGCGCACCTGAAAATTAAATAAGGAAACAAATTTATGGAAGCATTCAATTAGAATACCAAAATATGATGGGGAGATGGATCATACGTCAATGTTATTCTAGTAGATCGTGATAACGATGTTTTATTTATAGAATAAAATTATTTTTGATGAAAATGAGGAAATATGGTTCAGATTCATTAAATAAGTTATAGATTATACTTAATCCATTAATATCGTAATAATAAAATTATCTACCATAAGGTCTTATTGTATTAGCTCTCTGTATTGTGAAACTAGATGATTCATATATTTGCATCCGTGCGACTCCATTAAAAAGCAATTGAAAGCTGGAATCTCGGAACGTGTCTAAGCCTCACAAATTTCTTTTTTTTCACAATTTGTATTTAAAACTGAGTGACGAAGTCACACAGATTTATGTCTATTTAAACCATGTATCCATTTAGTTAACGAACAAATAACCCTACCGCCTGGGTGAAAATCTTTGGGTGAGTGAAAATTTTTAGTGTTGCGTAAGTGGCGTAAGATTAAAAAAAATATGCCTTGAAATTTTCTACAAATCAAATGCTAGCGGTAAAATAATTTTAATATCATCCAAGAATTGAATATCCAAGTTGTACAAGGTCAAAATAATATTTAAGCCACTCTTATCATCTTTTGATTTTCGCGAAAAGGGCTGAGTATATTAATTTATGACATCAAAACTACGTAAGAAAAAAAAGAAGGTATAAACTGCGGCGCATTACAAAATAACTCACGATCTTCAAATTTAAAGATTATCCTGTTTTTAACGTTTCCTTGTGGCTAATTTGTTTCGCTATAGAGTTGACAAGTAATTTTCTTGATTTTTGCCGAAAATTGAACTCGTCAAATAACCTGATAAAAAAAAAATTTTTCAAGTTATATATATAATTCGACGAGATTTAATTAAGAAAAAAAAAAAAAAAAATATTTTTTTTTATTTTTCAGCTGACTACTTTTAAAGATGGCGCAGTTAACTGGTGGAGCCACAGATGGCAATAATTTCATGAGAACTAACTTTTTTTTTTCCACTTTTTATGATTATAAAATTTGAGAAAAAGTATAAAAAAACCTCTGGTTTTTTTTGTTGAGGCTCTGGCGATCGTTAATAATTTTTCGCATTTATTTTATTAAAAAACCAAATTTTTTTGATTATTTCGGCCAAAAAAAGTTAAAGCATTGTTTTATAACCACCACAACAAATCAATAAAAATTTTCTAGTTAGTGCAGTTTGCTGGACTGAGCACGTGTTTACTTAAAACACACGGAACGTTCATATTTAATATAATTATTAAAATTCAGAAATGTCCTCTTCGATAAGTTCACCAATTACTTATATAAATACAAGTGTTAGTAATGAATCTATACCATCTATATCGGAGTCGCCAATCGTTCCTAAACATCGAGTTGATAAACCACTTATTATAGTAACGAAAACAGATATCCCTGCTCAAGAAACAAAAAAAGAGGAAGTATCGGATAAAGGATGTGCGAAAGTTTGTAGATATATACTTATACGGAGCAAAAGAGTTTTCGAGATTTTAACATATTTTCGGTTGGTCGTCGCTATTGCGCTTAATATTTTGATTATTATTGATTTGATTTCAATAAGACAAAAAAAAGCAAACCTGTTTTGGATGGAAGTTCTTACGCAGGTAAATTGATTAAAAAAAAAGTGATTTTTTACGATAACATTATTACGATATATTACAATACATTTATTATGAAACAAAAATGCAGGTTATTAATGCCGAATTTACATTATTGACAATTATATCACATCCTAAAAGAATTATTAATTTACCAAGGGCAATAAAAATATATATCGCTAGTAGAAAAATACCTTACCAACAAAACGAACTATTTACACCTAATATAAAAGAAACACAAAAGAATGTTTATAAGAATTATGATTGGTATTTATATGAAGCGACAAGAGCTGACTTAATATGCTCACCAGGGAAACTTTTAGTTATCCTCTTAATTTGGAATTTAGGAAGCTTAGCGCAATACGGTATTTGTGGTATGATTAGAACTTTATATTTATTACATGTGTAATAAAATCAAAAAAAAAAAAAAACTAATTTGATCGATTTTTGATAGTAATCTTATGGTTTTTTCCGCAACAAGAACGACCTCTAGAAATATATGCTATTTTAATTGCAATAGTATTAACATGTGAAATCTTACCCATACCTTTAGTAGTAAAACAATATAAAAAAGTTATAATAGCTAAGGGTGAAAAATGATTTAATACATTTCCCATAAAAACTCGATAAAAAATATCGCAAAGCGTGATAAATTTTGTTTTGATATCAAACATTTGATTTAAACAAATTAATATTACTTTGTAGTTTGTAATGAGCATATTGCGTACAATGTTACGTTCTACTTTGCTATTGGATTTTAAAACCCATTGAAACCTAAGGTAATTTTTTTAACGGTTAAAGCATTAATAGGATTTAAGGTTAAAAAATGAGCTCTTGTCATATGATCTTAAAAGTGTAACTATGCTAGTTATTACTTATAAATTTGGTTCGTGAAAATATCAAACTCGCCATTGCTGGTCTTGTTATTGTAGTTACACAAGGAAATCCATATGCTGATCACTAACTAAGTTGGACAGTTTGGGACGTCTCGTATAAATAAAGACCGAAAAAATTTTCTCTCAAAAAATATAAAAAAAACATGTCTGATATTCCGCCACCACCACCACCTCCCCCTCCACCACCGCCGCAGCCGCAATCTCAAACTGATAGCAAACCGGAAACTGAGGAAACTATTAAAGATACTTCTGATGCTGTTCTAGCGGATATACAGTCACCTCAAGAACTTACGGCATATGTAAGTTTATTATATTTTTAACGTTGAAAAGTTGAAAATTATGTTACATTTTTTTTTTTCTTTTTGAAATTAACGAATTTCTTTTTATATGTACATATATATATAAGGTTGAAACTGTACTTTTACAATTGGTATTTATTTACTTAACGATTTTGCTTCAAATTATTTGAATTTTTGACTAATCTATTTGTATAATTCAAGCAAACAAAATTCGATGATTTATCATTACATTTATTTTCAAAAAGTATAATTAATCTATTAATTAATGATATTTCTTTTTTAATTTAAACAAATTTTACTAACTTAAAATTTTTTTTAGTGGATGATATGGCATCACGGATAGATGTGCTTGAAAAATCTTTAGAAGAATTATTGCAACAATCTATATCTGAAGAAATTGTAACTGAAGAATCAAAATCATGATTTTTTTGTTTTTTTAAAAAAAAACTATTTATTCAAACAGTGTATTCTTAATAATTATTGGAAAGAATGAATAATATAATATGAATCATATGAATCAAAATTCTTATTTAAATTGATTGATTAAGTTGATTTGAGGAAAATTAATTGAGTCAATAACAGATAGAAAATATTATCCGGGGCAAAGCGGAGGATTATCTATAAGATTGTAATAGTATTATAATAGTAAAATTTGGTTGTGTTTAATGGTTCTTCCACAAAAAATTCACTAATTCCGCTTGGGATTATATTCATTATGCGATTTCCTAGTTACGGTTAATCATTTTTTAAATAACATTTGAATCTTTTTGGAACTCTTTCTTTCTTCCGTATGATTTTGTCATCATATCGTTATCATTTTGTATAGATGGAATGTTTCCACATGTTTAATAATTGAGACGCATATCCCCAAGATATATGTCCATTTATGAAATAATTTTCGCATATAATCACACCTCATCATTATATCATCTTTGCGATTTTTAACATTGAAGATAAATCGGAAAATTTATGATTTGATTAAAAAATGTTTTATTATATAGTCTAACTATTATAAGAGTAAAAAAAAAAGTTGTGCTATTAGATGAAATTAATGCGCACATATTTTAATGACCTTATGGTAGATAATTTATTATTACGATATTAATTGATTAAGTATAATCTATAACCTATATAACTTATTATTTATTAAATGAGAATCTGTACCATGTTCCTTTTTCTTTTTCCTTTATTTCCTCATTTTCATCAAAAAAATTTTTTTCTATAAATAAAACATTGTTATCACGATCTACTAGGATAACGGTTGACGTGCGTGTGGCATATGATCCATCTCCCCTATCATATTTTGGTATTCTAATTGAATGCTTCCATAAATCTGTTTCCTTATTTAATTTTTCAGGTGTCTCTGTTTTACTTTAAATAATTAATTTAAATAAAAATTAGTTGATTTTGTTAATTTATTTATTCATTATAATTAAATTTTTTTTACCTTAATAAATTAAATAAGCGATCTACAATATCAGATTCGTTGGTAGATTCTTTAAGAATTGATTTCATGTCCTCTATACCAATGTGAACTTTGGGCCAGGGATCTTCCAATACACTATTACTTAAACCGTAAATTTCGGCACTTTTCAATTCTTTAATTCCATCATTTCTTCTATTATTTTGATAATAGAATTTTGGGTTAGAAAGACTTAAATCTGATGCGATTAAATTAAAACCACCATATTTATTAGAATTATTTGATATCTCTTCAAATTGATTGTATAAAGGGATTTTTAATTCGGAACATTCAAGAATTGATTTTACAGGAATTCCACGGGATAATAAATCTGGTGGTGGATGATATTCTTCAAGATAATTCGTTAAGGCAGCAAAATTGCCATGACGATTTATTCCTAGCCAGGTTCCCAATCCTAACTTATCAATACCTGACAAGACATTTGGATGCCACCATGACGCATAAGCTGTTGGTCGATTTAAGTATTCATCTCGATTTGCGGCGAATATACTAAAATAATAAATAAATAACATTTTTAATTGAGTCTGTACGACATGAAATATGATAACACATGATACGTGATAAAAAAAAATATTAGTATTTACAATTTGTATTTGGGATGATTATCTAAAGTCCAAAATAGGATACACATAATTAATTTTTCTTTGGGGTTAAAATTTTCATATGACAAAAAGCCAAATTTTGGGTTAAAAAAAAAAAGAGAAAGAAAGAAATATTTTGTAAAATATTGAAGTAATCAACAATCTTTATATACTTTTTTGTTAAATGATTTTTTATTTTTTAATAAGCGAGCAGACAATCATTTTTTTAATAATCAAAAGTGTCATGCGGCAATTATTAGATCACCTGTTTAATATATAAACAATAAAGTATTACTATTCACTATTATTCACTATTCACTATTCACATTTCTATTACATTAATTACACTAATTACATCAACACTTATCCCACGAGTTTAATAAATAATTTGTATTTGCATATGAAAAATTAAACACGCGATTACATTTTTGTAAATCATTGGGGACAATTATTATTTTTGGGGGGAGGCAAACATATTCTACCCTAGATATCTTCTGCTTAGCAGATTGTTTATGTAACAGCTACGAATAATTTTTTTTCCGCCCCAACCTTAAATTTTAAAATTTTTTTTTCAGAAATCAGGCTTTTTGAGGTTTTCTTTTTTAATATATTCTGTTTTTTTATATTGAAATTTGATTTTCATAAATTAATTTATCTTTTTTGTATGTAAGCCCTTTTTTTTCATTTAATATTGCATATTTTAATATTTTAATTTACGTATAAGCACAACATGAAAAATATGTTTCCACTGAAAACTGCCCCAAAAGAATTTTACTTCCCCAATTCCCCTTTTACTCATTCTTTCGTGTTTGACTCGTTTTTTTTTTATGTGTAATTATATTAATTCCAAACATGTCATTTTTTTCCTTTTTTATTTTTTTTTTTTAAAAAAATATATATATATACCTTAACACAAAATTTTTTTTTAAAATTTTTTTTAATTTTTTTCTTTTTCTTCTCGGTTTTGTTCCTTAATTAGTTTAAATAAAAATAAATAAAGAAGCAATAAATTAGATCTTTCCTTCTTATTTATTTTTCCTTCTTATTTATTTTTTTATTATTTTTCTTTTTCATATTTAAAAATGGTGGCACAGGCAACATTTCTACCAACTGAACCCGAAGAGATTTCGCAAAACCCTTTTTATTTGAATGAAAGACCTAAAAGATGGAATATTAGAGATGATCCAATTACATGGTCAAATTGGTATAAACACATTAACTGGTTACATACCCCTTTACTTATCGGAATACCGGCGATAGGCTTATATGGAGCATTCACAACTAAACTTACAGTTTATACTGCTATATGGGCTGTTATATATTATTTTATCACAGGATTAGGCATTACTGCTGGTAAGTATTTTAAAAAGTTCAAAGAGAAATGCTTGTAGAGTTTTATTTTTTTTTTTTAAAAAAAAAGGAAAGGAAAAGTAGGAAAGAAATTGATTTGGACATTAAATTCAATGTTAATTTTTAAAATTTCCTATTAAAAAATTTAAAAAGAAACCATCGAGCCATTTTTTTTTGTTATATCTACTTTGGAATTATAATTCATATATTCTAAAAATAGTGTGCAGGCGTTTAGAAAGTTTCGTGTTACGCGTAGATCAATTATTTTCCTAACGATTTAATTCAATCTAATAGGATATCACAGATTATGGGCTCATCGTTCATACAAAGCATCTAGACCCTTTGAATTATTCTTAATTTTTGCAGCATCTGGTGCAGTAGAAGGTTCAATTCGTTGGTGGTGCCGTGATCATCGAGCTCATCATCGTTTCACTGATACTAGTAAAGATCCATATAGTGCCAATAAAGGATTATTTTATTCACATATAGGTTGGATGATGCTAAAACAAAATCCGAATGAAATTGGAAGAGCTGATATATCAGATTTAAATGCTGACCAAATGATAGTAATACAACATAGATATTATGGTTTATTTGCTATTGGAATGGGCTTTGTTTTACCTACTATTGTAGCAGGTTTGGGTTGGGGTGATTACTGGGTAAGTTAAATACATAAATACACGTTACAAATATGTGTATAAATAATAAAAATAATTTTTGTTATTATAGGGAGGATTTTATTATGCGGCTTTACTCCGTTTAACATTCGTTCATCATGCAACGTTTTGTGTAAATTCATTGGCGCATTATTTGGGAGATCATACTTTTGATGATCGACGTACTCCTCGTGATCATTTCATAACAGCCATATTATCACTTGGTGAAGGATATCATAATTTTCATCACGAATTTCCACAAGATTATCGTAATGCTATTAGATTTTATCAATATGATCCAACTAAGTGGCTGATTAAACTTTTATCATATGTTGGTGGTACTCATCATTTGAAAAAATTCCCCGACAATGAAATTAAAAAAGGTAAATTTTTAATGGAACAAAAGAAATTGGATCAAAAAAAATTATTACTTCAGTGGGGTAAAGATATTTCTAAATTACCTGTTTTCACCTTCGAAGAATGTAAGTCTTTTATTTTTTTTTTTTTCAAAAAAGAGAGACAGAGGTTAACTTGCTTTTTTATCTTAACAGTTCAAGATGGAGCTAAAACAAATAATTGGATTTGCATTGAAGGAATCATTCACGATGTTTCATCATTTATTAATGAACATCCTGGTGGTAAATCATTTTTAACAACTTCAATTGGTAGAGATGTGACCACATATTTTAATGGTGGTGTTTATGATCATTCTAATGCCGCTAGAAATTTAATGTCAAATTTAAGAGTTGGTGTCATTGCTGGTGGTGGCGAAGTTGAACATAGGAAAACCAAATAAAAACATAAAAGTTGACACATGCGCGTAATATTGTTATAACATAATGTACCTTTTAAAGCATACATATAATCCATTGTATTAAAGTAGATTACGTAATTATGATATATTATACTATGTTCAAAATCAATTTAATCAATTTATATAATATATATATATATAAATTAAAAAAAAAAGTTTGCATCCTTGAATCTGTAGTTCGTAGATCAATAAACATACATATGTCAATCAATATAAATATTTGATTTACTAAATTAGTAGTTTGTCATCAAAATATTTTGACATTTTAATAAAACCGGATTTTCGAGAAAACACGAAAAGGCTTAACCCGACGGAAGGTGAAACTGAATGTGAAATTTAACGATTTTAAAATGAGTGAAGATTTGAACAGTTTAGTTGTTAGTTTCTTTTATATCTATTTTTTTTTATAAATTAAAAAAACAACGTAAAAAAAATTTATACGTTACGACTTTTTGATTTCATTTATTAATAAGATCCTGGAAGACCTGCATATAGAGCTGGTCGTAAACCCATAGCTACCCGAGTTTATACAATTAACCAGGAGTCAAGGTATTAAAAATACTATTAAGAATACTATAAAAAGTATTACCGAATTAAATAATTCTTTTTTTCATTGTTTCTAAATATCATAAACCGTATAAAGATATTTGGTTGTAGAAAACGTTCCTGCACTCGGTTTAACAAAAGAACTTCTTGAATTATTTGCACTTTATGGAACTATAGAAGAGTATGTTATAAGTTAATTATTCATTTGCCAATTCCAATTCTATAATACATATATATAGATATCCAATTTTTATATATAATAATCATTTAGGTATCAATATCTTGATGATTATCCATGCGAAGAATTCACTGATGTTTATTGGATAAAATTTCAATCACTACCTCAAGCAAGGTATTTTTTGATTGTAAAAATTATGAATAATTATAATATATAAATAAATATATAATATATAATATATAATATATATGTTAGAGTTGCGAAAAAGAAGGTTGATGATCACATATTCTTTAGTTCTAGTCTAAGAGTACGTTATGGTCCAGAGTATGAAACTATTGAAGATACTCGAGGAAAATTACGAGATAGACGTACTGTGATTTCCATTAAAACCAATGAACAAAAAGAACACGAAAATAAAAGTAAGACATTTTATTTGGAAAAATGAGTTATTTATGATGATAACAAACTTTATCAAATTATATTTATTGGTCGATTATTATTATTATTATTATTTTTGGTTTTAAAAATTATAAATTGAAAATTAGTACATCATCAAACAAAATTGAATGATTCTTCTCGGTCATTAACATCAATTCCTGTTATTTATCCTCAACCTGATTCATCCGCTTATTATAATTATTATGATTATAATTATTATAATTATCCTTATTCAGCTCAAAGGTAGTTATAAATAATCTATTAAAATATAGGATTAAGATAATAAGTTATATGTTTAATTTTTAGTCAAGAACCGCCAATACCTGGAGTTGGATATCCGTCTTCATTCTCAACAAGTTTTACTCCCACGTCTTATAAATACCATACCGATCCAAATGTAATTATTTTTATTTTATTGAATTATATAATTTGGCGCCATGGCTCTCGATTTTTTCAAGTCCCCAAAATGGAAGTGACATAAATGTGACACATTCTTCTACCCTTACCCTAACCTGACTTAACACAATGGCTTGTTTTTGTAATTTTATTAATCATTTTAAAAAATGTATATATATATTTTTATTAGTCTTCAATGTCTTCTACAGTTAACACAATACGACAGAGAATCAATGATGCTTCAAAAGTTTCTTCCGACAAAGACAAAGGTAATGTAAATCAGATATCGACAGACAGTTCAATAAAATCTACACATACCACTACTCCCACTAAACGTAGAAGAATATAAATAAATATATTATGGATAAGTTATTTAAATAATAATTTATACATCATAAAAAATTTTTGCTTAACGTTAAGGAACAAAGTTATATTAATATTTATTAGATAATAGGAAAATTTTGTTTAAAATAATAAAATAAACAAATGAATAACTAATTTAAATACAATAAAGTAAAAGTAACATAAATAAACATTAATTTACTCCGTATAAAATCTCATTATTTTGATTTATATATTATTAATTTTTTATTAAATTACTTATCGATTATTGACTACCAATTCCAAAAACTAAATAAAAAAACAATTATGTGATAAAATCTTCAGTCATGAGAATAAAAAAAAAACTTAAAAATACACATTTTTTTACCTGTTCATAATTAATTAAAATCCATCCATCGTTATCGGTATCATAACGTCGAAAAGCATCCGTAAGTGTCTTAACGGTCACACATGATTGCTAAAAAAAAAAAGATCAATATAAAATTAATATCAGTTCATTTTTTTTAAAACGGAATATTATAGATGAAAAAAAAAAAACATTACCACAAAATTATCAAAAGTCACGTCGCCCTTTCCTGCATTGTTTTTACCGCCTTAAATTGGTTAATAATTCATATTCACAAGGTTTTTGTGTTAACAGGGGGGAATATTTCCCTCACTCTTAAACAGTTTTTTCGCATTGAAACAACGGAAAAATTTCAATTAATGAATAAATAAGAAGTTGCACTCACCATATTTATCATACTTTTTAATAAGAAGATTAATGAAATTATCACTCAAGTTATAACCGAATGTTCTCAAAGCATTTTTTAGTTCAGCGAAATTAATAGTGCCAGAACCGTCAGCATCAAAAGTTTGGAAACACTTTTTCCAATCCTCGATGTAACGCCAAAGTCCTGTAAATTCCTGAAAAGCGATCGTACCAGAATTATCTGAATGTTTAAAATTATTATAGAATTAATACAATGATGCATTAATCATTGCTAAAAATACTTGTTACATACCAGTATCAAACATATTCATCATCAAACGCACGGTTTCAATATTAAATGGACTCCAATCGCCTTAATTGTAAAATTAGAAAATTCGATTATTGAATTGATACAAAAGAAAAGAAATTATTATTTTAGTTATTTAGAATGCGTACCATTAATTAAAGCTTTTTGTAGTTCTTCTGTGGTCAAAGCTCCACTCTTATCAGTATCTACGGCTTGAAACCAAAAGTAAAGCTGTTGGTCAACCCCTGGTGGTGGTTGAGCAGGGGCACTACCAGAATTTGGAGGACGATCTATTATATTAACGAAAAATAAAATATTATACAAAAGTTTCATTACGGATTTCACTAGTGCATCTCACTATTTAAATACTTTGTTGTTGTTGAGGAGGAGGATATTGATATCCTCCAGGTTGTCCATAAGCTCCTTGTGGAGGAGGTCCTTGTTGTACATAACCTTGTGGTGGAGCTCCGTATTGACTTCCTTGTGACTGTGGCGGTGGTCTATAACCTCCTTGATTGTTGTTGTAGAAAGACATTTTTAAATAAAATGCAAATTCAAAAATTGTCGCAACGCAAAAAAAACTTCCCGATTATTATAATGCGAATGCGATGACATCACCAGTAATGAGTCATTAATCGATTGTTTTTATTGGTAGAAATGGTGGCGTGAACTAAAATATGTCATAATACCATAATAAGATTAACAGATTACAATTTACAAATGTGTCACCAAATGTGAGATATTTATTATTTAGATGGTTTCAATAGTATTACAGGATATCTAAAATTATAAATATTTAATTATGGGGATTCGACAAATTTTTTTACATTTTCGAGCCATGAAATATATTCTTTTTGTTCTTTAAATTCGACATAATTTGGAATAAACATAGCGACAGCAGTGTTAATGCCACGCTCCTCTAAAAATTTTTCAAAAAGAGCTTGAACATCCTATTTATTTTAAAAAAAAATAAAATTTAATTCACGTGAATAGTAAATATAATAATAGCACTTAAAATGAAATTATATTATACAAACATTATCCAACGTCTCGAATTGTGGTCCAGGGTAAAAACCTCTTCTCATCCAGTCCGCTTCAACTGTCAAATCGTTTGCTAATTTCGCGTCACTATAATGCGCCACGTAACTTATAAGGAATACACCATCGACAAGCATTACTTCAAACGCCAATGCACCTTTTCCATTCTTTGATAAAAAAAATATAGATAAATTAAATAATTATTTCTACTTGATTTACATAAAAAAATATAGTACCTTTTCAATATTGATAGAACATCTGATAGGCGATGATGGTTCGGTATCTTCATCCTCTTCCTCCTCTATTACCTGTAATACGATTTTCAAGTTATTAACTTATTTGGAAAATATGCATATTGTAATACACACTTATGTAAGCTAAATATATTCGCTTTAAGAACCAAAACACTAAAAAAACAAACTTACTTCAGTTTCTTCATCCTCATCTGTTGAAAATTGTGTTGATTGCTGATCTAGGATATTGATATCGAAAATTAAACGAATCCTACGAAAAAATAAATAATAAATAAATTAATAATGAACAAACTAAATGAACATAGGTTATTTTATAATTCAATTTACTTTTCATTTCCAAAAACTCTCGAAAGTACAACTTCATTTACACCCGGTTTGTCTTCAATCTATAATACAAAAATCATAGATGAAAATTTTTTTATAAAAAGTCATCAAAATTTTTGGATTTAAATATTAACTTATTAATTACTTTAAATGGATTTTGTGACAAGAAAGTTTTCACGAATTCTGGTTCTTTTTCAGTGATTTCATTTTCATAATTCAATTCTTCCCCCAATTTAACAGCCAATTCTTTATCAGTTTGGGTATCTTCTTTAAATATACAAAAAAAAAAAGAAATATTTTAGTTTTGAATATTAATACTTCTTAATACAACAATATTTCGTAGTAGCATTACTTGGAGCAGGTACAGCATTTAACCGAAAACTTGTCGCGGTAAACCCACGAGAAATGAGTAGACTAGGATTTGGACGCGTAAGTGCAACACGAGACACTGGTGTTACAGAAAATGGTTTAACTATCAAAGAAGTTCTTAGTAGTGTGGATATAGGTCTTATTGACTTTAACAAACTCGTTCGAAGTAAACTTGCCAATACCATATTTTTTTTTTTTTTTTTTGAAGGGATCTTTTTTTTCAAATTTTTTTTTTTTTATTTATATTATAAATATCATGTGATCTAATCACGGGATAACACAGTTGCACTAAATTTAAGATTTTATGCGTGTCAGTTTAATAAACTTCTAACTCAGGTTTTATCAACAACTCGACATCATCTCGGTTTACTTCCCTCATAAATTTAGTTCTCTACAAGCTTGGTAATTATATTTGTAGATTCAATACCGTCGACTTATACAAGCCGGAAATTTATGATTAACCTGGTATTAAACAAACCCATTTCTAGTCCTTTACTACCTCACGATCTAAAAAACAGTTCATTCAGGTTTATTTATAACTATGTCAAGTAATATGCGCGGCTTGACCGTGTTTATCGCGGATATAAGAAATTGTAAATTTTTATTTTAATTTTTGACTTATGACATACTGTAGAAAATACTCATCTTATCATGACTATCTTCCAATAAAATCACAGGCAGGGTGAGAGAGTTAGAAGAAAAACGAATTAATAAAGAAATGGCAAATATTCGGGCGAAATTTAAGGGTTTGTCATCACATTTGATTATACGACAGTAAATTGATAGTCATTTAATTTATTCGCATTATTTACATTATAGACGGAAACCTCAATGGTTACCAAAAGAAAAAATACGTATGCAAGCTTTTGTATATGTACATTCTTGGATGGGATATTGATTTTGGTCACATGGAGGCTGTAAATCTTATATCAAGCAACAAATACAGCGAGAAACAAATTGTAAGTATATGTTGCTTCATTTTTTTAATATTTTTAATCTTATTTAAGTTGATTTTATTTATAGGGATATCTTGGAGTGACCCTGTTAATGCATGAGAATAATGATCTGGCACGTCTAGTTATCAATTCAATACGTAAAGATCTTGAAGAACTTAATGAGATATACAATTGTCTAGCTTTACATGCTATTGCTAATATTGGCGGTAGAGAAATGGCGGAATCATTATCATTTGATGTTCATAGACTCTTAATATCACCGTAAATGTTTCTTTTAAATAAGTTCTCTTGCAATATTCGATTATTTTAGACCATGCAAATTTATATACCTTTTCTATTTTAATTCAAGATTTATTCACCCATCTATTTATTTTTATTCAATGGTGACTTAGTAATTCAAAAAGTTTTGTCAAAAAGAAGGCTGCTTTGACATTATTACGGTTATATAGAAAACACCCTGATGTAATCCCCGCAACGGATTGGGCTGAGAGAATAATTGTTTTAATGGATGACACAGATCTGGTAAATTCTTTTTACATATAATAAAAATATTTGACATGACCAAGATTCATGAAAATTTTATTTATTAACTAGGGCGTTACGCTTTGTGTTACTAGTTTGGTAATGGCTTTAGCACAAGATAATCTAGAAGCGTATTTGGGTTGTTATGCTAAAGCAGTTGATCGATTAACAAAAGTATGGAGTAACACTTGATTTTTTATAATTAATTATGCAGGTTTAATAATTTGCTTTAATTCTCTTGTAGATAATTGTTGATAAAGAGTATTCTCTTGATTATGTATATTATAAAGTTCCTATACCTTGGTTGCAAATCAAACTGTTACGGTTATTGCAATATTACCCGGCTCCTGGTAATCCATTATTTTCAATCTAATGATTTGTTTTTCTTAATTTCTAACCTCTTTTTTCAAATTACCACCGCAGATGATCGTAATATTCGAAACAAGTTACATAATGTGTTACAAACCATCATTAATAATTCACAAGATGCGCCTAAAAATGTGCAGCACGCTAACGCACAAAATGCTGTATTATTCGAAGCTATCAATCTTGCTATCCACTTAGATTGTGAATCACAGATTGTTAATCAAGCCGCCGTACTTTTGGGACGCTTTATAACCTCAAAAGAGACGAATGTACGATATTTAGGATTAGAAACTATGTCACATTTAGCAGCTTGTGTAGATTCATTGGAACCTATTAAAAAACATCAAGACACCATATTATTGTCTTTGAAAGATAAAGATATTAGTGTTCGTCGTAGGGGATTGGATCTCCTGTATAGCATGTGTGATGTCACAAATGCAAAGGCGATAGTAACCGAATTACTGAGATATCTTAATATCGCAGATTATGCTCTTCGGGAGGAAATGGTGTTGAAAATTGCAATTTTGACAGAAAGATTTGCAACAGAATACCAGTGGTACGTGGATATTATTCTTCAGCTCCTTAGTACTGCTGGTGATCATGTAGGCGAAGTAGTTTGGTATCGTGTTGTACAGATTGTTGTAAATAATGAAGAACTTCAAGAGTATGCTGCGAGAACAGTTTTAATTCATTTAAGGTCACCTTCTTGTCATGAAAATCTTGTTAAAGTAGGTGGTTATATTTTAGGTGAATTTGGAATTCTTATCGCCAATATATCAGGTGCTAGTCCTATGGAACAATTTAATACACTTCAATCGAAGTTTGGAATGTGTTCCCAACCGACAAAAGCTTTACTTTTGACCACTTATTTAAAATTTATTAATATCTTTCCGGAAATAAAAGGAGAAATTCTATCGGTATTTAACCGTTATCGTCATGTTTTGGATTCAGAACTTCAACAACGTGCTGCGGAGTATATGGCTATTGCTACTATGCCGGCTGATGATCTTCTGCAAACAGTATGTGAAGAGATGCCACCTTTTCCTGAACGTGAATCAGCTCTTTTGTCACGTTTACACCAAAAACAATCAGATACAGAGGATAAGCGTACATGGGTTATTGGAGGAAAAGATATTAATAAAGATAGAGATACTGTACGTTTTTCTACATTAGGGTCCAGAAGTAATTCCACTGATAGTAAATCCAAGAATGAAACTGTGAGTAATGGAAATAATAATAATGGTAATGGGGAACTTGATTTCTTACATGATCTTGAAGGATTAGATTTAAGTGGTCAAAATGGACATGCAACAACTTCAAAGCCATTACCCGCAGGTTTTATAACACCAGGATCAGAAAGATGGTTTGGTAAACTTTTGTATAATATGGAAGGTGTATTATTTGTGGATTCTCAGCTTCAGATTGGTATAAAATCAGAATATCATGGCCATCTTGGTCGCTTTGCTCTTTATTTTAAGAATAAAACACAAACAACTATCACATCATTTACTACAGTGATAGAACATGTTAAAAATCTTCTGATCACTACACCACAGCAACCAGCGACTCTCATATCACCATCCGGTCAAATCCAGCAGCTCTTTCATATAGAATGTCAAAATTTATTTAATGAAACGCCTAATATTCGAATTTCATTTATATCTGGGACTCTTCATACTATTGTGCTTAAATTACCGATTGTATTAACAAAATTTATGGAACCCATCGAACTTAATGGACCAGAGTTTTTTACAAGATGGAAACAAATTGGTGGGGGATCAAGAGAAAAACAAACTATTTTGCAATCAAATGTGCCAATAGATCTTCAAGGGTTACATTCTATGATTTCAGGATTTCGTTATGGAATTTTGAAAGGAGTAGATCCAAATCCCTATAATATAGTTGGAGCTGGCGTCTTGCACACAGCACAAGGAGGTATGATCGGATGCTTAATGCGATTGGAACCGAACGTTGAAGCACAAGTAAGAGTGATATTTGATATCTACAAACTCTTTTTAGTTGTTGTATTTCATTTTTTAACTATCGGTTTTTTAGATGTATCGATTAACTGTTCGAACTACGAATGAATCGGTCACTAATAAAATTTGTGTACTCATGGAGCCACAATTAACTAATAATTCATCGTAGATAAAATCTATTTTCTGAACAATTTATTACATATAAATGATCTATTAGAATATTTAACTTTCCTTCACTCACTTATACACCATAATTTGAAAACTTATAGATTTATTTTCGTTTCAAAATTTTTGCAAATATTAAGTTGTATAATTATATATGTGTGTATATATTATTGTATAATCATATAATTCTATTCAAAAAAAAAAAAAATTAATTAACATTGCATTTTCTACCTATACTTTCACATGTAATCTTCATACTTCATACTATTTGTGTACTACTGAGCTTTTAGTTCTGCATCAATAACTGCTTAAATTCCGAAGAATTTCTATCTTATTATATTTAAACTATGAAATTAATCAATAAATAGATTAAATCATATTATAATATTTTGGTTTTACATAAAAAAAACTGTTAGCTTATTGAAAAAAAAGAGAAAATTACTTTAATATTAATTAAATACTATTAAGATAACATTAAATTGTATTATCTTTAGAATTTATATTGCTATATAATGTTTTATTAATAAAATATGTATATTGTAAAATTTTTAAAATTTAATAAGAAATAAATTTATAAATTATATTATATAAACAATAATAGTTTAAATCAAATTTAATTGAATAATATATATTAATATTTGTTAGAATATTACATTTTTATTTTAAGTATTAAAAAAATAATAGAACTCCAAAAAACTTTCAGCAGTTTTCATTACAAATGATATATAATAATATGAAAAGTAGTTGAAAATATCTGAAAACTTTAATAGAAAAACTTGTTTTAACTTCAGAAAGTTATTTAATAACTGGAACTTATTCTTCAATTTATACCAAAATATTATTTTATCAACTTAATAATAATTATATTTATTTAATAATTAATATACTAATATAAATAATAATATTGCAACTTTATTTATAAAAGATAGCTATAGGTAGCTGTTCTTTTACTCAAAACTTATTATATAATTCTTTAGTTTCAACTTTTAAGATTTTTTGAAAATTCAATACTAAATAAGCTATAAAATTAGTTGTAACTAATTATATATAAAAAGTTATCAAATATGTAAAAACTTTTAATATAAATTAATCTAATGGATCTGTATCTAAGCATCTTAAAATTTTTTGAATATAAATACTAATCACTGAATACTATAATTGTAATATTGATAAAAAACTTAAATTCTAATGTAGTATTAAAAAAAGCATATATTATATACAAAAGTAATTAAATTCCTGAAACTAATTAGAGTTGACTTATTTTTATTTACAGAAAATATTAGATAATAATATATAAACTAACCTATTAATATTTAAAAAGATATCTACTTTTATAAATATCAGAAAAACTTTTTAAAAAGTTTAAACTTTAAAGTTATATAATAGTAATAAATATTAAATTGCAAAAGAAATATTACATATTCAGTTATAATTATTAATTGGATTAAATAAATTATATCTGAATAACTGATTAGTATTTTTTAAAAAATTATTTGCATAATAATTTTCTGCTAATTAGAATTTACAATAGTATAAAAAGTAAATTTCAAACTATTTTAGGATATTTTAAATGATATTTAAAATAATAAATTACAGTCAAAATATTATTTAATTTCTAATTAAGTTAAAGTGCAAATATTTTAAGATCATTTAAAAGAATAAAAAAAATGAAATTTATTATATATTATAAAAGTTGAAATGTATTATAATGTATGCTTAATATGAAATTTAATTGGTTAAAATGCAAATCAGATTGGAGTAAATATTTTACTATAAAATTCTTCAACTGGTCTTCTGAGAAACCAAATGGAATCTATAGATTTTATTTATACAAGTAGAATGGAGTAGATGGAATTAAGAATATGTAAATAGCTTTAAAAGATGTTACAATTTCTAACAAGATATAAGTAGCTAAAAAGGATATTTGTCAACAATCAGAAAGCTGGATAAATATTAAATAGGTGAACTAATCAATAAACTTTATAGTTTTAATTAATATTTGCTCAATTTTAAAAAAGCTAGAAGGAATTATTTGAGAAGAGCAATCTGATTATTTTCTATTTTATTATTTTCATGAGTTTAGTTTTTTGTCAATATAGTTTGCTACTTTTTATTTTTTGTATATTATTAGCCCTTTCTGTTAATTTGTTTTCGATAATAGGAATGTAATGTATTTTGTTTATTTTAATTTTTGAGAATTGTTTATTGGTTAAAATTTATAATATTATTGGATAAAAAAAAAAGATTATAACTCAATTTTAAACTTTTTGCATTAAAGCAGTAATTAAGATTTAAGACTAAAAGTAGAGATATTAAACACTAATGTATTTTTTAAATAATACCCTTTCAATATAATTAAGAACAAAAAAATAGCTTTTTTTACATGTAAATTTATAAATCTTGTAATTTAGTGTGGGCAAAAAAAAATAGTAGGGTTATTAACATAGCACGTACTATGGTGTTAATTAAGTGTTAATCAGAAGAATTTTTAGAAGAAAATCCCTACTATTTTTCGGAGGTGACATTAGGGTTTTAATTCTTGCAAGAAATCATTTACTCCAACATGCCTCACTAAATCAACAAAGACATGTGATATCAACTATTTTCGGTCATATTGTGTTAATTTTAATAAAGGCAGAGTTACGTTTTTATTACTTAAATGTTATAATGTTTGTCATGTAACTGATAATGTTATTTTATTTATTTTTTAATCATCATCACTATCACTACTATCGCTATCATTATTTTGTTTTTTCTGACTACCTCCACCTCCTCCTGCTACTGCAGCCGCAAATCCTTGTTCTCTCATTAATTTCATTTGTCCGGCAATAGAATCTTCCTCGGGTTCTGAAATTTCATCATCAATTTCCTCTTCTGGAGGAAGTTCCGAAAAATCTTTCACATCAAGCTAATTATTATTATTATTATTATTATTATTATTATTTTGGAAAATTATTATTATTTAAATTATTAGTAATTATAAATAATAAAAAAAATAAATAAATATGTTAAATAATTAATTACCCTTAAATCTTTTCTGATATCAGTACCAACATATGAATCACTCTTAACGTATGCAACATAAGAATATAACCCTGGATCATGTGGTGCTTGAAAATGACATCTAATTGTTCTAGTAGTAACAATATTTGTAATTTTCATTGGTTCAATTATAATTCTATCTTTTTTATCATCTGCCATAAATACCCACCAATAAGGTATCTTATCTCTTGATAAATATGGTGCATGTACAAAATCATTTTTTTCATCTGTTTGTTTATTTTTACTTCTTCCAAATAATAATTCATCTTCACTGTCAAGATACTCTCCTTTTTCATCTTCCTCATCATCAAAAGTTGCATTTTTCTCATTTTCCTTACTAACTCCATTCATTTTAATTTCTTTTGCTTTTGATGTTGAATTTACTATTCTTAACTTAATAATTAATGTAACAATAGATCCTGGAGTTATAATTGCATCACCAGCAACTAAATGATTTAAAAAAATTAATTATTTAATTCTCTCAAATTTGGGATAATACAAAATTTTTATACCTTTGAAATATGCTTGATCAATTTTTAAAAGCGGGTATATACTAGCAATTCGCATGAGGGATTCATACTCAGTGGGCGATAATGCTTTAAATACATTCCTTAAATAGTGGAAATAAATGTAAGATTAAATTTTCTTATAGAAAAATTTCCGAGACTCAAACTTACTTCCTTTCCTCATCATTCATTTCCCGAAGTTGAATAATATTTCTTATGTTCTTCTTTTTAAGTTTCATTGTTTTTATTATATCTTGATTAATATAAGGTAATTGAACAAGCGAATTATCTTGAAACCACATTGCTTGAACTAAAAGCTGAGAAAGTTCCATACAACGTAAACTTGTTTGAAGCCAGCGATGTGCTATTGCAATATCAAGTATGCCGTTGATAAGGTGTATAGATCTTTCAGCAATGAAGTATTTATCTTTACGAAAAATAATTAATTATCAATGTAAGTAAAAAACGTTAATAATGACTTGCAATTATACAATATTCTACCTTTCAATAAATCCTCATCGGAAAAATTAATTCTCAACAAATGAGCATGAAACAGTGCACTTGCCTTTTGACAATATGGTGCAATATACTATAAATTATAAATTCATTTTTAAGTAATCTTAGAAATTATTTACTGATATCATGTTAAACCTTCATTCTTACTCTTTTACTCGGTTGATATTTTTCGCTAAATCTTTTGTCCAGTTCTTCTTTCACTGATGATATAATTTGTGGTAACAAAGTCGTATCTGATGGACGCTGTTCCACTAACTCTTTATATTCAACTGAAGCAGAAAGCAGATCTAATAATTGTTTAATAGTGGAATTATTCCTTAATTCTTTGAAATATAGATCCATTGTATGTGTTCTAATCCCATCCTTAGTATAAGCATTAGAACTATACCACCATCGACCCTGTATAAATGTAAAATCAATTAGATAATAATTTATTTAGCAGCTGATATGATTGACTTGTAATTACCACAAAGAAAGGAAGACCAATTCCAAACGCAAGGGCATAAACACCAAGAACAAACGGACTATTTTTAGCTTCGATCAACCATGTTGGTAGTGCAATACCCAAAGAATAAGCTAGTTTTTGTTAAAAAATAATATGTTTGTCTCAATCGTGTAGAATGATATTTAACTATAATACTATAATAATACTTTTAATCTAACCTTGCTTGCCATCAGGATGACCCCATTCTTCATAATTCTTACGTATATCTTCATCAGTCAGTCTAACAAAGTATTTGAATATTTTAATAAAGATACCAAATTTTAATCATGAAAGAAAAATATTTACACTTTATAAGCTTTGGTAAAGTCAATGAATTTGCTTTCATATTCAGCCTTCTTGTCTTCTGGGGCCTTATCAGGATGCCTTAAAAATTAAAGTGTTAATATAGTGAAATATTTACTGACGCATAAATAATACATGAAAATAATTACCATTTCCTGCTAAGTTCCTTGAAGTGTTTTTTAATTTGTGGTAGCGGTGTACCCTATAAATTATAAAAGTTATAGTGTTTTAATACGTAAATTATTTCTAGATTGTTTAATGTAACAGTATTAACCTCAGAGATGCCCAATACTTCATACGGATCCCACACGTCAATTTCAATTTTAACGGTTGTAACCTTATAAACTAAGTAGGCAAAGCATATCCATCCGACCGCAACAAAAATTGCTCTATTTAAAAGTAAATAAGTCAACTTTCTTTTGGTCATATAAGATTATGTTATCAGTTAAATTTATACAACTTTTTGCTGATACGATCTGTTGAACTTAATTTTCGGTTTTTTAGGTAATTTTCTTTACGTAAACACGCTTCGCAATTACAAGAAGGCTTACGTAATTTCGCATCTGTTATAAAAAAGTTCAAGATTAAAGTTTGATTTGAAAAAATTTTGAACTGATCAAGAAACAAACCCTTATCTGTACTGAAAAGCGAGAAATACGTAGTTGGAATAAGAAATATTGCTATGAAAGTTAGAAGAAAATAGTTAAATGTAACACCCTGTTCATCGTAAATGTACCGCATTTTTTTTAAAAAAAAAAAGGAATGAAAAACTATTTCGATAAAATAAAAAAAATCAATAAGCGTGTCGAATTTCCACTGGTCACTGGTCGATAATCCGATCTGCACCACGCGGCACGCGTCTTTTGGCGTGATTGGCGTTCTGTTCTGTTCTTGCTGATGTTCAAGAACCAGTTCTATTAATTTGGAAATACTGTACTTCGCATTATAAAGAGACGAATTAGATATTTTGGCAGAGACGAATAAATTCGTGAATAATAATAAACGTCAGATTTAATAATAACAACTAAAGTTTGTATAAATTTGGTAATTGAAAATTTATAGAATCTTTTTCTGTTTATTAAAACTTTTCAAAAAAAATACAAAGAATTTTTTTTTTCGAAATAAATAAGTACTTATATATAATAAAATATATAAATATAATAAGTTATCCATTTATCCTGACTATTTTTTAGAGTTCTGCTAATTGTTTATTCATAAATACGTATATAATAACTAGTTCAGTCTACATGACAATAATTTATTGTTCAAGTTAACAAGTCACGTTCCGAATTAGGTCGTTTCACGATAAGTGGAAATGGAGGAAATGGATATTCATCATCTTCATATCCTAATTGTTGCATATTACTCGTTAAATCATCCACTGAAACATTACCTCCACGAATTCTTGGAGATGCAGGGGCTGATAGTGGTTTTGGGATTTTAACTTTTTGTTGATCAAACCCACCGGATTCGCTGCCTGCAAATGAATCTGGATAAGCTCTATGTAGTGCAAGTTTTCTTGCTCTCACATATTCCATTCCCAAAACTTTCCAATCCAACAAATCCGATAATCTTTCAGTTCTGTTACGTTGATTAATTCTTTGACGCCGTGATTTTTGGCAGAATTGTAACATACAATCCGCGAGCTGTTCAACGGATTCATCAACTGATTTCAACCGACGATCTACTATGTAGATACCATAATCTCTATTTTAGGAAAATAAAAATTGTTTAATTGAAAGTTAAACACAAAGCGCTTAAATTAATGGAAATGTACAAACGTACGAAGATTTCTCTAGTATTTCCTCGACGAATCCGCCAAATCCTGAAAGATTAGTGGTAACAGATGGTACACCCATTACAGTGCATTCTGCAGGAGTATATCCCCAAGGCTCATAATAACTTGGAAACACGCCAAGATGGCAACCACGAACAAAATCTTCATACTCAATACTGATTAAAGGATTGTTGGAACTTAGAAATTCAGGGTGGAATACGACTTTTACGCGATCAGATGGGTGATTGAAAAGCTGCAGACGACGTAATTGGGTTAAAATAGGATCCGAACCATCGTCAATCATATTGTGTGTAACTATTGGTGGCAGTGAATTTCTTTTAAGAGCAATAACGCGTCGTTTTAGCAGTATTTTTTCTTCGTTTGTCAATAATTCCGATGGATTTATGACAGCACGTGAAATATCACCACTAGAAAGGAATATATATATATCTGGTAAATATAATTGCGAAACAAAAATCAATAATGTCAAACACATACCCCGTATAGCGTGCAGCTTTGTCAAATATTCTCTGACCGATTTTCTCTGTGATGTCTTTTACTGTCTCCTGAAGTTGTTTTGTAACAGCTTGACCTTTCAGTGCTTCCACAGCAAATGATTGAGTTGCCGCAGGCATGACAATAAATGCAACAACGGTCATTGGTGAATTACAAGCTTTTAGTCTATGGTTAAGACCTAAAAAATAAATAAATAAATAAATAATACACAAAATAATTTGTAACAATAACATTTTACTTACGAGATAGAGATTCAATATACATATCAACACCCTTATTTCTATACTCATAGCGACCAGCTGTAAAGAAATATAGAGTATTGTCAAGATCAAAATCGTAATGGCCGTAAAAATGTCCGCGGACAAAATTATGAATCTTTTCTTTATTCCTTGCATGTAAATTTTGAAATTCATGCATGGCGGAAAATTTTACAACATTTAATCCGTTTGGAAGAACCCCATCTAATTTTTTAGAATAATTTATTAACTTTTTTTTGTTTATAAATTAATATTAATTTAATTTGTAACCTACCTGGTTTCCTTTTTAATAAATGCTCAGCTTCGAAAGCCGTAATTTGACTAACTGTTGTGAACACATCACAACAATGTGCGGCACCACGTTCAATACAATAACGGTGATATATTCCACGTTTTCCAGCTTCTTCATCAACCGAAAAATGTTGTATATTATTATAAAAATCGACAGAGCCAGCACATAGATATCGTCCCAAAAGAGTCGCGTGTGTTGTGAAAATTGTGGTCAGTTCTGTACGACGTTTACGGAGCAAAGGAATAGCAACACCAGCGAGCCATTCGTGAAAATGTGCTATAACAGCTTTCTTTTTTTCTCGAGCTACAAACTATTATTTAAACAATTATTAACATAGAAACACGTGAAATGCAGGATCAGGATTCTAGTTATAATAAATAAATGTATTGGGCACAATGACTCACATCTCCCAAAAACCATCCAACAAGATAACCAAATAAAATAGCATCATTTGTTTCTTGATCATTTGGTGGTGAAGGAATTCCGGCAACGTTCCATAAATCACCCTTCCATGAATCTAATCTATCAGCAATTGAATTGGTGTCTAATAAAAGAACATGGGGAGCTCCCTCTATTAACCATCGACCATACATCCATTTGACCCCTTGACTTGTCATTTCATCAAGGATTTCTTTCATATGAGGATTAGTAACTTTTTCTGCTTCAACCTCTGCAGCAGCAGTCTTGTAGGCCAAAGGTCCAATGAGCGTATATCTGTCACCAAACTCATGAGCTGTTACGGGAGCCTTGGTTTTTATTACCGTATAAATTCCTCCAACTTTGTAAAAACGGTTTATTTTAAAAATAATACCATACGCATACAGATTTAATAAAAATTCGTTCAAATTTACCTTTGTTTGCAACCTCCCAAGCAATTTCGAACAGGAAAGGGTTATGAACGTCACGGTGACTCATACTTTAACAATAAAAATAATTAATAACTAATAATTCTTTATCCAAAGGAAATCATATATCCGTAGCGAAAGGGGAATTTTTTTTTTTTGAGGTTTTTATATGATAATTCATTCGACTATTATAGTTAAGTTTGAAATGAATGACATCAAATAATAAACAAATTATATTCATGATACTATTATAGCAGTCAGGCGCTTGTCAGGCCATTTAACTAGCGATGTGACTGAGTTTATATATTTGGATACACGTCACGATTATATGAATTAAGTAAGAATTGCCCACTTGCCCTATTTATACTAATCTTAAAAGATAAACTATGTCAATCGAATTATCCTTCAATGTTCAAGAACACATGCAAGCATACCGCCTCCAGGAGACTTTATCTGCGGAGTTACCAATTTAAGCATCTTGGCTCAAATATTTTATCCCAATTTCGTTTGATTCCCGGGATACTTAATTAGTTATTATTAAAGATATTAATGATAAGAGAAGAATTGATGTATAAAGATAACAAGTCAAGCAGAAGTTCTGGCGTAAATGCGTAAAATGTTGATTTTCAATAGATAGCCAGATCAACTGTGTCAAAAAACACTTAATTTTTTATTATGTATAAATTATGTCATAATAGACATTTTGTCACGTGATTTGACACCTCACTAAATTGCCTACTCATGCGTTAGACAAGATGCCCAAATATAATTGGCTGGTGGAGATGGATCTACAAATGTTGGTGGTATGCATGAAGATCCAGTTTCACTTATATAAACATCCCATTGTCTCCTAACATAAACATGTGTTGGATTAAAAAAATATATCAGCAAAAAAATAAAAATACAATATTATACCTAATTAAAACTAAATTATCTAAATCAAATTCAGCTTGATGCCAATATTCATAAACGGGATCTCTTTCTCTTTCGCGTTCTTTCATTCCTGCATCCATAGCTTCATTTCTTTTATGTTCAGCAGCAGCATTTCTTTCTTGATCAAGACGAGCTTCTTCAACTTTCATTGCGTCATTCAATGATGCGATCTTGTTAAAAAACTCATCGTCTTCTTCGGGAAAGAAATGACCTGATAAAATATATAGACATTTAATTAGAGAGTTCTCTAAAGTTATTTGCAGAATAGAATAATAAATAAACTTAATAAAAACCTTCGCGTTTTAATCGTTCTCTGCGAAGATCACGAAGTTTTTTTACTTTTTCTAAAAGTTTTATTAATTCTTTATGTTCACTCTTTTTTGCTTCAGCTTCTTGAACTCTCTTTTCAGCTTCTTCTTTTCTTGCTTGTTCCTTTAACAAAAAATTAAAGGTATGAAATAATTCTAATTATCATTTGAAATATGACTAATAATTACCCGTTTCAAAGCTAATTCTTTAGCTATCCATTCCGTTCTCCACTCATCAATAGTTTTATGTAATGTTTCACGTCTACGTTGTCTTTCATCTCGGACAGATTGTAATTTCTTGATATGCTTCTTACGCCATTTCTTTACAGTGAATTTAATCAGTGAATTATAATAATGAAATATATATCTATTTGTATTCATACCTGATGACGCCTAACTTTAGATAATTTTATTTTTATTTTTTCAATATATTTTTGACCCGTTGTGCAAGACAAATTTGATTCCAATGTTTTCTAAAAATATATTTTAACACTTTTAATATCCTTATAGTTAATTGACTTATTAACATTTATATATAATAATTTTTCTATAAGTTCACAATTATTTTAAATAAAATATTAATTTAAAAACATGTACCTTGAAATTTTCAAGACCTTCTATGTTCTCTCCCCATTCATCTTCATTTGCAGTTTCTCTGATTTCTTTTAACTTGTCCAATTTTAATCTCATGTCTTGTAATAAATAATGTGTTTGTAGAATTTGTTCACGTGTGTTTGTTATATTAGGTAATTTGGATACAGATTCTTCGAGCTTTACATTACGAGATTTGATCCATGACTTGAGCCAAGCTTGTTGAGCACTAGTAGTTTTCTCTAGGGAAAAGATGCAAAAAATCATTAGATTATTTAATAATTTTTTTTTCTTTTTTTTTAAAAAAAAATAAAAGCATAACCATACTTATGTCACCATCCTCGGCTCTATTTACGCCTGGAGGTCCTTCTACTTCGCTAGTATTCGGAAGCGCTATATAACTATCCAAAGGAAAAGAGCAAGAGCTATACGATTCATACGACAAAGGGTTTGTATATGTAAAACTATTAACTGGTTCTAAAGTCACTCCTGCTGGAGGATTGTGTGAAAATTGTTGCTGATGTCGCGACTGTGAAAGATTTGAAGACTTGCGTTGATGTGTTATATGAGGATTACAGCTATAGGGTTGCTGACTTTGTTGGGAAGACATTTAAGATTACTAAAAAAGAGTGCATTACAGTTTGCACGGACCATGAGGCCTTTCTATTTTTGTAACAAATCTTGTACGACATAATAATCAACGATTCTGTAGCACATCACAATGATAAAACTATTACGTCAAATTTCACACTTAAAAAATATGGGTTTTGCATAAAAATCTCAAATTTTTTTTATTTTCAAATAAATTTTTCTTCATTTTGCTCAAAAATTAAGAAAAAATGCATTCTACTACGGGTTTGAATATGACAATTCCTGAAAAAGTATCAGATTTATTAGTAAAATTAGATACAACGGAAATCAGATCAAAAGAAGATTTATATCCTTTAGAATTGTTACAGCGAGCTACGAACTATTTAGCCGCTTCAATGATTTTCTTACAAAAAAATACTTTACTGGAAAGACCTTTAAGTAAAGATGATGTCAAAGAAAGATTGTTGGGTCATTGGGGTACGTGAAATATCATTTTTCAGTTTTAATTTCTGTATTATAGAGCTAAATTTAAATCATTAGGAACATGTCCCGGGATTAATCTCATTTACGCCCATTGCAATCATCTAATAAGAAAACATTCGATTCCAATGTTCCTTGTAACCGGCCCAGGACATGGTGCTCCTGCCTGTTTAGCTAATCTTTTTATTGAAGGATCTCTCGCTAAATTTTACCCTCAATATAGTGTTAATAAAGATGGCTTGAATAGACTTATCAAAAATTTTAGTTGGCCTCGCGGGTTTCCAAGTCACGTGAATTCCGAGGTTCCGGGGCAAATTCATGAAGGTAAAATCATTTTCTTTAAAAAAAAAAAAATTTTTTTAAATGTTAAAATGTTGATGAAATTGAATTATATTATGCAAAGGTGGTGAACTTGGGTATGCTCTTTCGGTTAGTTTTGGTGCAATTATGGATAACCCGGATTTGATAGTCACGTGCATCGTTGGTGATGGTGAAGCCGAAACTGGTCCGACTGCAACAGCTTGGCATTCTTACAAATTTATCGATCCAGCTGAAAGTGGTGCAGTAATACCAATTTTGCACGATAATGGATTCAAGATTTCAGAAGAAACGATTTATGGCGCTATGGAGTACGCGTTTATATTAATACATATATAAATATATTTGTTCATTTTAAATATCATAACTATTTTTTTAAATTTTATAGTGATACTGAACTTTCCACCTTATTTACGTACGTAGAATATTTTTTTTTTATCGAAATAGTGGAATATACATGTCTTTTAATAAATTTTATGTAAAAATGTTAGTGGGTTTGGATATCAAGTTCGCATAGTATCGGATCTAAATGATATCAATGCAGATATGGCTACTTCAATGGAATGGGCATATCAAGAAATTCGAAGAATCCAAACCTGTGCCAGGTCTGGGAATCCAATTTATAAACCAAGGTGGCCAATGTTGGTTCTTCGAACACCAAAAGGATGGACGGGTCCTAGAGAGTTACATGGACAACGTATTGAAGGTTCATTTAGATCTCATCAAGTACCTTTACCGCATGCAAGAGTTGATGATGATGAATTTCGTTTACTGGAATCTTGGTTAAAGAGTTACAAATTTCATGAATTATTTGATTTATCCGATAATTCATTTATAATGGAAGTTCTTGAAGCTTTGCCAAAAGAAGAATTACGTATGGGAATTAGAAAAGAGACGTATGCTGCATATGAACCTTTAGATTTACCGAATTGCAAAGAGTTATTGGTACAAAAAGGTGATAACGAAAGCTGTATGAAAATTACTGGACAATATTGTTCTGAAGTCATTAAAATGTAAGTTAAATGAAATTTTTTTTATTTAAATATTTATTAACAGCCTTTTGTATTGTAAAGGAATCCGAAGAGATTCAGAATCTTTTCTCCAGATGGTAATTACAAACATTTTTATAATTTTATTTTTGAAAAAGTCGTAACGCATCCTTTATGTATTTGTATTTATGTAGAACTTGTTTCAAACAAGTTGGATGCTACTTTTCAAGTCACCAATCGAAACTTTCAATGGTCTCACCAGACTAGCAACAAAGGAGGTCGTATAGCCGAAATTTTATCTGAGCACACATGTCAAGGATGGATGCAAGGATATACTTTAACAGGTAGAATTATTTTACTAATTGCACCAGTATTTTTAAAGGTTTTTACTTCAATTGAGATTTTTGTATAGGACGCGTTGCATTGTTTCCGTCTTATGAAACGTTCTTAGGAATTATCATCACAATGATGATTCAATACGCAAAATTCATTAAACTTGGTATGGAAACATCATGGCGATTGCCAATTGGATCTTTTAATTATATTGAAACTTCAACTCTCTGGCGACAAGAGCATAATGGATTTTCCCATCAAAATCCTTCATTCATCAACAATCTTATTAACATGAAATGTAATTATGTTTAAATTGCACGTTTAATTAAAACATGTTTACAATTATAACTCAACTTTAATTTTAAATATAGATGAACATATTCGCATTTATTTGCCAGCGGATGCAAATTGTTCTCTTATTACAATAGCTCACTGTTTAAGAGCAAAAAATTATATTAATTTGATTATTGGAAGTAAAAATCCAACACCTGTTTGGCTATCACCTGAAGAAGCAGAAAATCATTGTATAGCGGGAGCATCAGTATGGAAATTTGCTTCAACCGATGATGGCCTTGATCCTGATGTAGTTTTGGTTGGATGTGGTACAGAAGTTACATTCGAAGTTATTGCAGCAGCGAGTTTATTAAAGAAAGATGTTCCAGAATTACGCGTTAGGGTAGCTAATGTGACAGATTTAATGATTTTACCAGGAAATGGGAGTCATCCACATTCTTTGGATAACGAGGCTTTTGAAAGCTTGTTTACTAATGACAAACCTATTATATTTAATTTTCACGGTTATCCAAGTGTAATTAGAACACTCTTATTTGATAGGCCTAATTCACAACGTATAACTGTGGTACGTAGTTACAGTAAAAATATATGATATAATTGTTTGATTGACGCATATTATCATAGTAATTTTTTATGTTCGTTTAATGACGTAGTTGGGATATAAAGAAGAAGGCACTACAACTACCCCTTTTAAGGTAAGATAAATAACATTTTGTGATTTGCATTCATTACGTGTAATTCACTCTTTTTCTTCTAAATTTAGATGTTAACTGCTAATGGAACCAGTAGATATGACGTTATAATTGCAACTATTCATAACGTGTCCAAGTTTCATCCAAAACTATCAATAAGAACACATGAACTAATCTCATTATATAAACATAAAATTGTTGAGCATGATAAGTATATCGAGAAATACGGTAAAGATCCCGAACATCTTATGGATAAACCAGAATTTTAAGTGTAGGTTAAACTTTGAGGTTAAGGGTTATACTTTTTCTTTTTCAACTTTTTCAACAATATAATATTATTGCACATATAGTATGATTTATTTACAATAAACAGCCTGATAAAGATTCGGTTTTTATATGTATATTATTTTATAATTTGTTTCGCTATTTACAAATGAAAAACAAAAATAAAAATTTTTTTTTTGAAGCAAAGTTTTTATTTGTTGATATTATAATAATTTAGAATAATACAATTTTATATCATCCTAAACAAAAGAAATATACAGAGAAAATGTTTAAAGAAATAAATGAATTTAAAATAATATTGCATAATAAAGGGAATTGGAAAATCTTTTTAAATGAATAGGAAAAAAGTTACCGATATACAGTAGTTAGTCTACTAAAGATAATTTGTAACATGAAAAAATAATTTGTTAAACAACCTTAAAAAGAAATAAAGTTCAAAATAATATATATATATAACGCTACATGACAAATTATTGAAAACCAAATCCTGTAGTTCCCTCCGAGATTGCCAATAATAATTGAGACCTTAACTGCTCGTAATTTTCGTATTCAGGAATATCTATTTGGTTGAAACTAGTAAAGATGATAAAATTTTTAGGTTAGAACAAATAATCTTCAAGATTATAATAATAAAAAGCATGTAAGTTAAAAAGCGATTTACCAAGTATGGGCAGATGGTAGACGATCTGGACTAGCAAAATCCTTATGAATCTGGAATTTCTGTACACCATGAACACCTTGAAGAACGGAAAAACCTTCCAATGGTACTTTTGAAGTACCTGTAACAAATTGTAAGAGTTTCGCTCGCTCTTCTTGATCGAAACTTCTCACTGCTCTCCAAAACCATTGGATTTGTGGAGATGAAGGAGTATAATTTTGATATTCAGTATTATTTTTCCAATCATCAATATCAATATCTGGCATTCCAGAAATTAGTAATTCTAACTCTTGTTCATTAAATATACTAATCAAATGTGCTGGAATAATTTCATGGAAACCGGCAAGGAATTGCTCAATCTGATCTTTAATAGCTAAAGTAAGTTTCTGTTCGGTTACAAGCTTAACATATTCTCGTTTGTTTTCTTCCGTCACTGGAATATTTCTACCGTTTTCTTTTAAGTCAATAATCTTCTTTTGACCAAAATCATCGGTCTCAACGCTAAATGTGTAGTCAATTACACCTGTGATATCATTATTTAACATCCACACCAAACTGTTATAATATTCTAAATCTATAGCTTCGACATCCCGATAATCAACGGGCTTTCCAAGTATATGTTTATAGAAAGAACGTGTGAAATATGCATCCAAGAGCCTTCCATCATAAATAGCTTTACCAATGACACGTCCAACAAATTTAAAGAATAGCAAATGTTCTGGGTTTGCACCAGAGGCTCTATTTGGTTGATATGTAAGTCTATCTGCTGCTGATGTTTTGAATAATGCATAGTCCTCATTAAACATTTGTCTTGCAAGAACTTGGAACCATTCTCTTGTTACACCACCAGCGTCAACGCCTTCCTCTTCGTAAAACCGTACACTAAGTTTGCCATATTTAATTTCATCTCCGGTTCTTCTTTGTAAGTTCTGGAAGGAATCTTCAAATACATATTGACGTCTAACATTAAGTTGTAAAGAACCATAATGTTCACGAGCATTTGTACGTTTATGAAGTTGCTGGTTGAAATAATTTCTCTTATTGTCAAATTCAAGAATCTTCGGATTATGTACTAATAAAGAGAACGATCCACTCATTAAAGAAGGATTATTCCTAACCATCGTATTGAGAATCTTACGATGATCCTCTGTAAATGTAAAGAACAAATCCTCCATACTCTCAGAAGGAGAAGAATGCGGCCCTGGTGAAGATATTTTTTGACTTGATGATGTCATGCCAACATATTTACATACAACCATCAATGACTCTATAAGTGGTAAAAGAACGGTTGCTACATGAATCATATCCGGTTTTTCATGTATAGTAGTCAAGCATCTCCCTAGTTTTTTCCATAGTTCAGTGAAATTGAGTGTTTCATATATCTTCATAACCTTTTCTTCATCATCTGTCAATTTAGAATTTCGTGCGTTGCTATCTAACAATGTTCGTGGTGCAACTGTTTCCGCTTCATCAGGATCAACAGTTGGAGCTAATGAAACTTCTGTTTGCGTATTAGATGAAGTGATATTGGATTGTTGTTTACGAGAATACATGTAATCGATTGTCTTGAGAACACGTAATAATTTTGCTTGTTTCGAAGATGAAGGTGAGAATTTGGACAAAGTCACTCCTTGTACATCAACACCGGTGTTTGCCTTATCTAAAATTTGCGCTAAATCATCAAGATCTTCTAGTATATCGTTTCCAAGAGATTGAGCACGTTCAACTAGTTCCGAAGTTATTACTTCACGAGCTCCACTTAAAGTGGAAAGATGTTGTATAACTGAAAGTGTGTATTTGAAAGTATTACTTGTACATTCACCGGCAGTCAATACATTCACTACTAAACGCAAACAATTTTCAGGTATAACAGGTGGTTTGAGTGTAGGAAGCTTCTCCGGTTCTGCTTGTTTTGACGAGGAAGCTGTAGCATTATCTTGATTCGTTTCATTTCCAGATGGATTATTATTGTTATTAGTCTCCAGATTATTATCATTTTGATCGTTAGGTATATTTAAAACTTGATTGGAAGGTTGTTCATTGTTAGATTGTTGATTAGATTGTCCAGATAAGTTATTTGAATTGTTATTTTGATTGTCAGTTCCAGAAATTTGATATGAATTATTTTCGTTATTAATTGTGGTGTTATTAATTGTGGTGTTATTTTCGTTGTTACTTGTGTTGATATTTTCGCTGCTACTAGTGTTGTTATTTTCGCTGTTATTTACATTATTGTTGTTTATTTGTAATGAAGAACCTCCTTCGTTTCCATTATTAGAAGTTGAACCAGAATCACCAGATGAAGTCGACGAATCCGATTTCGAGAGAGTTGATAAAGGTCGTAAAACGAATGATAATAAATGCATTAATTGATCCATTAATGCTGTATTTTTGATGAACACTTGCCTATCTAAAAGACTAAGTAGTATCACGACAGGATATTTGCTAACAGAGGATTTAGTTTGTTTTTCTTTGCCCTTACGACTATTTGATCTCTTAAGTCCAATATTGCTTTCATGTTCCATTAAGAAATATGTAACTGATGCCTCATTATACGTCACAATATATGTCAAAGCTTCCAAACATCTTTGAGCAATCAAATTGGGTACATTTTCTCCAGCTGCTTGAGTTATTTGAGCAAGAGACGGATTTGGAGCACTCGATTGTCTTCTTGGTGTACTTTTAGGAGTACCTTTTGCACGTAAAGACATTTGAGCAAAACTCTTATCGACAGCGGCTACGTCACCACTTCCATCATAAAGGACCGAAAGTAACATTAAAATCAATTCTCCGCGTGTTTTACTATTTTCACAAAGATTAAGCAATAGCTTATGGAGCAAATTTTTATTGCCCAATGGTTGGGGTAGAAATAAAAGCCTAACCAACGTGGCTAATCCTGGAGTGTCAACAAGTTTCATTGCATCACGCTGGACAGTAGGTTTCTTAGGAGTTTGTACAGCTGGATTAGTACTAGCAATGGTTCTTGATCGTACTGCATTTGTATACCTTCTACTCGCTCTTTCTCGTAAAGCATTTGCTTCGGCAACAATTGCTGGAGGTAAAGATGCCAAAACCATTTCATCTTGTTCAAGCAGGACAGTTTGTCTCAATTGGGGATCCAATGAAGCAAAGAAACTTGCCGTATCCATTTCTGCAGCAACAGGTTCAGTAGTTCTTTGACGGTCTCTCCTTTCTTGTTCAAGAGCTGCTTCTTGCTGAAGAATTTCCTCACGTAAATCAACAGGTAAGGCTTCCAAAAATTCAGTACTAATAGTATCTCCTGCACCACTTACTGGAGGTCTGTTTCTTCTTTCTGGCGGTAAATGTTGATTTAAAACTTCTTCGCGTAATTCATCGGGAAGTGCTTCAAGGAATGTTGGATCGATTCCAGTATCTGTAATATCCACAGGCTGGCCATTAACCATAACGGTTGTTCTTGCACTTTGAGTTTCACTTGTACCTTCAGCTGCACCCTCGACTGTACTTTCGACTGTACTTTCGACTACAGCTTGAGAAGCTTGTGAGGTTGTCGCTCCTCCCTCTGTAACAGTTGGTTCTTCCTCCATGGCTACGTTATCCTCAGATATAGTAGGTACAATTTCCTGCGCTGGAGATGGTTCAGCATCCATAGCATCGGGATTCTCTATATTTTCTTCAGTTTCGGTGACAGGAGCATCTTCTTGCATGGTGTCTCCAAGTTCAATAATTTCAGTAGTTTCAGTAACTTCAATTACTTCTTCAGGTTCTGTAGTATTTTCAGTCATTGATGTATCTGATGTTACATTTTGTATTTCAGCAGCTCGAGCAGCTTCTGCCTCGGCCCTAGCTCGCTCTTCTAGTTCTCTTCTAACTCGTTCTTCCTCTTCTGCTTTTCTTCGTTCTTCCTCATCACGTATTTTCCTTTCTTCACGTTCTTTCTCTTCCTTTTCTTTTCTTTTTTTCTCCTCTTCCACTGCAAGTGGAATTAAAGCATTCAATATATGTTCTACTAGTTTTGTAGCCTTTTCGGACGCAGTATTACCGTACATCATACGGGCTTCGTCAAGCCACCTTTGTCCAGTTGAAACTGGCATAAATTCTTGAACAGCGGTAATTGGGTCACTCGGTGGTGTGGTAATATTTTGATTGTCTTGGGCATTTGTTATCGATCTAGGAAATACTCGATCAACTTCAATTCCACTAACTAAACCGCCCGAACCTGTATTTAATTCAAGTCTATAAGTAGAATGTCCTAAACCACGACTTCTAGTTAATAATTGTTCTAATAGTTGAACCGCACCACCGCCTATCAATTCTTCGATAGATTGTGTCCAGTCACCCAATGGTCCATTTCTGACATTTCTTCCTCTGAATTCAACTCCTGTAGATCCGGTGATATTAGGAAGATTTGATGTTCGGTTAACAAGTAATGGATGTGAAGTAACATCATCGTTAGAACCGGGAATCGGTCTATTTCTTATACTAGGAATATCAACTTCATCATTTGTACTGAAATTAAATCCATAACCAGCATGATCACTTATTACATAATCAAGTCCTTCAGGTGGAACTTCTAGAATAGCACGACGGCCACCAGGAATATGTCGATGACGTCTATTACCAAAGCTAAATAAGGCTCGACTTGGACGGCCTGGCAGAACAAAATCATCATCATTCATAAAAATTGAACCAGGTTGATTCCATCCCCAATTAAAGTTGAGACGATCTACATAACCATCATCAATTACATCAGCACTATCTAAAACTACGTCATTTTCTTCTCCATCATCAGCTTCTTCATCGTCATCATCATCATCGTCGTCGTCGTCGTCCTCATCATCCTCATCCACCAACATGCCTTCATCATCAGCTCCAAATCCTCCATGTCGGCGATGGCGGTGATGATGTCCTTCAGCATCATCAATAACTTCTTCAGCGATATCGCTTCGATTTATAATAACTTGATCGTGAACATCCCACATTTCTTGATCATCATCTCCACCTTGACGAATACGAACAGGATGTTCATCATCTGTATCATCATCGTGTTCTAAATGATGGCTTATATTGTTATCTTCGTTTTCAGAGTTGTCATTGTTCTCATTATTCAATATTGCAGAATGACTATGTAATGGTTGACGAACTACTATTTCTACGTCCATATCTTCATTATTATTGTCATCTTCATTTATGTCATCTTCATTACTGAGATCACTAATATCACTATCAGTTTCTTCCTCGTATTCACCATTGTCGTAAACTTCTTGTTCTTCATCAGAACTCATGTCTTCATCTTCCATATCATCACTTTCAATTCTACCTTCAAGAGCACCAAGTACAGAAGTTGCATATAAATCAGGTGCTTCTGTTTCATGAACCATTTCATCAGCTGATGGGGTAGAAATGGAAGAAATACTTTCGCGACGTTCCTGTTCTTCTTTAGAAGGTTCGGGTGCGCGACCCAATTTGATAGCAATTTTTGTTAAAAATTCGAATGGCTTCAATAAAGCACTTATCAAAATTCTTGCTGAAGGATAATTTAAATCTACTTCTGAAAGAGCTTCAGTTAAAGTGTTAACGAAATGTTTGTCAAGCATTAACTTAGCAACACTAGCGGGGCCATCATCAATAGGTTTGTTTGCATTATTACTTGTACTTGTTCGTGCAGTTAGAATTGCATAGCATAATTCGGCCAAAGCCAAAAGTCTCCCGTATTTTGTTTCAATAGGATCGGATGAAGTAATAGCATTCTTAAACGAACGTGTTATACAATCTAAAACAAATTTACGAACTTGTACTAATTCAGGCTGGACCTTCTTTTCATCAACATCATTACTAATGTTTGAACATAAAGCTACAATAACTGATGTAGTCCATTTAGATTGTCCATAACGTTTACGTATTTCAATGTCAGTTGAAGGTGTAATACATCCGTATGGTAATAAATCGTTCAATAGATAACTCAATAAAGGAGTTCTTGTCTTAGATGAAGTGGTGGGACCAATGCTACTTTTCCTACGTGAAAGGTTGATAACTTCAATTTTACATGAAGGATACGATGAAAGTAATTCAGTTAAACATTGAAGCAAGAAACAACGACATAAATAATCCAAATGTTCTTCAGGTTTGAATTGTGGTTGGGTAGACCCCGTATTATTAGAATTAGCTGTGTTGCTATTAGCATTATTATTGTTGTTAACATTGTTTTCGGTACTTTTTTGTTTTTCATTTGCAGTTTCCGTTGATTTAGACTCTGGAATCACAGCGGACTGAATACTACGTATTGAGATTAACTCATTTGCAATAAAATGGATCAGATTTTCTGCTAACTCGGAACCAAATGACTCTTTTTTAGGTGATTCAACTGTTGCAGATGTTGAAGGTACAACATCTGTCATTTCTTCTTCATTAACAGTATTGTCTTTACTTGTTGTGTTGCGAACTTCTTCTGTCTCTTGTTTAATCAAAGTAATCTGTTGACTACTTCTACCAAGTTCATATCTTGGTAATTTACAAAGTTTCTTGGTGGTCTGAACAAATATTTCGGGATTACGTAACGCAAATTGTGCAGTATTTCGAAGATAATTATTGATATCAACAACGCGCGGTCGATGATTAGTGAACCAATTTTTTATTTCTCTTTCCATAATTGATTCTAACACAGATACATCCTCTATAACATGACGCAATATCATAACAACAAATACTTGTTGTCCACGGAAATCATGAGCTCGTGGTTTGTAAGCATTAAAGAGTAATGACAATCCGTCCTTTTTAACGAATTCGGTTGCATCAGAATGGCGACGAGTTATCCGAACCAAGATTCGAAGCAATGAGATGATAATATCTTTGTCAAGATCTGTACGTTTCATAAATGATAAACAGTATTCGAGCAAATTTAATCGTTGTGAATCTGTTGGTGAAAAAGTATCTATTATAGGATCTTCAATCGCTTTCGACTCTTCGGGTTTGGATTGTGACTCCACACTTTTTGGTTCATCTGATAAAGATATAAAAGCCTCTATAACTAATAAAGCTGATGCTAACCATTTAGGTAAATTACTTTCAGAAGACTGTTCAGCTTGCTCAGCTACCATAGATAGCATATCTGAAAATATATTGAATGGTAAATGAGGTATTTTTCCTTGAATACTTGTTTCATTTAATAATAAAGCCAATAGGCGTAAACGTGAACTTAAAGCTTTTTTGCGTAATTCTTCGGGTTGTTCACGAGCATGTTCAATACTTTTTATTACTAACTCTGTTGTTTTCTCAGCTTCGTCTTTGCTCAAGAGGACAAATAAATCTTTCACTTCAAAAATAACTTCTTCAACTTGATCTAGTAACTCAATAGCTCTATTAGCAGCACTTGCTTTTAATTCTTCTCTAAGAGTTTTGAATTGGTCTACCGAAGCGACTTCTTTTCCTTTTCCTTTATCACTTTTCTTTGAAGTAGTTTCTGTTTCCATAGGAATAGGAGTATCACTAGATACTGAACGTTCCGCGGATTGGCTACCTTGAGCTAAATCGTCTGTTTGTTCCATATTTCCTTCGTCGTTATCAGATGAATCATCATCATCATCCCCAGAAGTTCCTGTAATATCTACATTCGAACTAGCGTTTGTATCAGTCTGCGCATTTCCGCCAGTAGATTGATTAATTGTTGAAGAATCACGACCAGACTCGGCCGTTTGAGCTTCTGAAAAAATTGCAGCTGCAATTGTTTGTGGGTGATTTAATAAAAATTCTGCTGCAGTTTGGACGTGGTTATTACATCTTCCGAGTGCTGTTTCAGCGGCGGAGCGTGGAAACCCCATGTCAATCAATTGTTGAACTCTATCTTCATCCGGAATAAGAGGGTTAAGAGGATTTCTTCCAAATATCGACGATGCTGATGATATGCTACTTGACCCTTCTATTCGTTGATTTACTTCACCTTCAGCCTTTAAAATTTGTACTAGATTTAGTATAACAGATTTTACAATATTTGGTGGTGCTTTTGTTAAGTAAGAGCTTTGCCAAAGTTCATTAATTATAGGAAGGATCTTTGCCCGAAGGCTCACGAGAAATTCATAAGGATCGAAACGATGTTCTCGATCTTTAGATGTCAAAGTGCTCGTTTGACTTGAATCGTGTAATAACTTGGCCGATGCGACAAATTGGAAGAAATTAAGTGTAACCTCGATGCATCCATGAATCCTTGTAAGCTTATCTTTTGATTTGTCGTCTGCTTCAATAGTCGAATACTCTTCAAAAACTTTAATTCCCTCTGCATCTTCCCAGAACTTGCGCAAAAGTGTGAATACATAGTCCAAACCGCCAGATTTATCAAAAGAAATGACTAGCATTGTCTGAAGAGATACTTGATTTCGTTCTAAATTTTATCAAGACGTAAATCAATATCAATATTTAAAACATTTTAAATAAATTTGACATAATTAAATCAGTTACTAACCATCTAAAAATAGTAATGATAAAAGACCTAGCATAACTGTAAGATAATTGTACTTGTTTGTAGAATCGGGTTCACTATCAAGTGCTGAAAAAAGAAAAAAATTAAAAAATAACTCAAAATTAAATAAACAAATGATTAAAATTATATTTACTATAACGATGCCAAGTTAAATGATCACTAAGAACTTCAGCAATAGAGTCGGATACTTTAAAAGCAGATGCTTTTTGACTTGCATCTGGTGATTTACGTGTGAAAAGCATCTTGGCCAAACCTAAATTATTAAACTTTAATTTCATTTACTAAATTAATTAAAATACTACTTTATAACACATACCTTGAAATAATGATGTCAAACAAGAAGGAATATGCGATATTAAAAATTTAAGATATTTGGCGTTCTTCACTTGACGGTTATTTTGGTCGACAGAAGGCTCATTTGTATCGGTTGTTTCTTTATCATAATCATCTAGTATTGCCGAAATAGCACTACTTGTTGAAATTTCGGGTAGATTAAAAGGTTTCTTTGGTTTTGTTTGAGAAGCATACCATGACTTTGGTACAGATGATTTTAAGATGACATTTTCCCAAACGCAAGTTCTATAACACAAAATTAATGTATTTAACATTTAACATCATACAAAATATTATACTTTAGTGAAGCAAATTAATACCTATGCAATTTTCCTAATGAGGGAATAACTTCGCTGTCAGGTCCAACAAAAGCTTCGATTACAGATGATACACTTTTTCCATGAGAGAAAACTGGTGTACAATAGACATCGGAAAGTAATCCAACATAGCCGTGTAAAGTTATTAATGACCTGAAGGTTTTGTTGGCTTCTTCAACTTTTGCAGTATCTTTTGCTAAATATTTTTTTTTTTTTAAATTTTTAGTATATCAAAGTAATGTTTGAACTTTAAAAATAATTAAACATACCATCAAGATCAATATATTCAACGAGAAGACCGCCTTTTCCATCATAATTTAAAAAATTAGTTGCTCCTTGAAGTGCTTCATTAAGTGCGACAATAATTGCTGTAACGCTTTTCTTTGGATCAACTTCGGCAATTGCTCTCATTAAGTGAGAAAGAGAATATGAGGCTGACGAACTTGCAAAATCGTACGGTACAGTTGGTAATGCATAGAATTTAAGAATTATATTCAACCCATTTTCTTGTTTGAGGAATTCTCTACAATGGCTTTGAGTCTGAAAAAGACCTTCTAAAAACTATTAATAGTTACGAGAAAGCATTAGTTGTATTCCGATATCGTTTATGTATTTAAAATGCGATAAGTACCTTTGCGGCAATCTCAATAAATGAAACAATAATATTCTCTTTTTTCTCTTCTGATTTAGCAGAGTCAGCATCGCTCATGGTAACATCAGTTGATACTGGTTCTTCTCGATTTTCTGGCTGAACATCACTTTGACCATCATTCGTTCCAGTATGTAATATATTAGTATCATCAACAACAATAGAATTGTCCTGTCCTAGTTCCAAGATACGCTGAAGCGTGACCATAATCGTATTCATGATATTCTGTTTCAAACTTGGATGATGTCTCATTAATTCATCAATATTGTTACCTAACACCGAGGCGACTTCGTTATCTTGAAGAGCACGTAAATGTTCAATAGATGTAAAAATTGTAAAGAACTTGTCTATCGGATTCATCTGAGTAAAAATTTCCATTCCTTGTGGATTCAAGCATATAGCACCAAATGCGTTAGGAATAGATTGAATTACCTAAATAAACCAAAAATTAAAAATCAAATGTACTAAAATAAAATGTTTAAAAAAAATATATATTTCTGGTATCTCACATCCACTGAGGCAGGAATTTCTTTCATGACAGATTTTAAGAAAGTTTGTGGAAGCTTAGCCTCTTGCATAATCGGAAGTGAAGTCGGTTCATTATGAATGAATGTTGCAATTATATTAATTGCTGAAAAATAAAATAAATAAGTAACTAATAAAAGAAAAAAACTATAAAAAAAAATATATTGATCATAAGATTTAACTAAATTTACCAAGGGCAAATATGCTACTTCCAAATACTTTAGGTTGTTCAAAAACCTTTTTAATTGAGTCTGGAAGAGAAGTGTCAATAAGATTTCGCAATCCATCTGCAGTGCCAGCAGATTGCATCATATGTAAAACAAATTTAAACATCGATTTCAATAACGATGATCTTTCGTAAGGAAGTGTAACATCAGATGTTTCAAGTGCAGTTACAGGTTCGGTGGCTATATAATTAATTTATAAAACGATTAGTGAATGTATGTTATATAAATCAAAGGAAAGATGGCGAATATTACCTGGTAGATTCGCTGAAGTTGAAGATCCTGCGATCGTTATATCTTCCATGAAATCTCCTTGGTTGTCATCCACTAACTGAACACCATAATCAACTTCTTCCTATAAAGCAAAAGCAAAAAAGTTAGAGATTGTTCTGAAGTATAATTATAAATTTAATGTCAAACTAACCTTTATTCTTTGGACCAATATACGAACTCCGTTTGCATTACAAAATGAAGTAAATGAAGGAGTAAATCCATAGACAAGACTGTCCAAGACACCAACAGCCTTTGTTATATTCTGAAATAAATGAATAAATTGATTAGAACAAATAGAGAGAAATTTTTAAATTTTTGAAATGAGTAAAATTCACCTTTGACTGCTGCGGATTTTTATTGTGCAACAATTGTAAGAGAGTTGGAACTATCCCTGCTGAAATTACCATAGTTCCACCATTTTGTGTGGTGATAAAATAGGAAATTAAAGCAAACATCGCATCATAATATTCTTGGTTGAAAATAGCTAAAAAGTTAAATAATAACAAATCAATAAAAATTATAAAAAAAAAGTAATTAAACCTCTAATTCAATAATCACTTACGGTTATTATTATCCAGATCAGCAATCACTCTTCGTAACACGTAAAGCAAAATACCATGGTTGGCTGAAGCATTAACAGCAGATAATACTTCACCAAGTTTTGAACGATATCGACTGATTCCGTCCAGAGCATAAAATGCGACTGTTTGGATTTCCTAGTAATGAATTTACATAAATAAATGAGATTTGTCAGAAAGAAAAAAAGATTAATTTTGAAATTTTCACTTATACTTACAATTGGTATATTTCTATCTGGATGAACCAATTCAGCAATATTTGCAACAATATCGGGCTCATACAAAAATAGTTTAGATTGAGCAACATGTTCGGGTACAATATGAGCTAAAGATAAATATAAATTAATTCGTTATAACATAAAATCGTGTATAAAATAGTTTAAATTATTATCATACCCATAATAGCAATAGCAAGTATTCTTATTATCAAGAATTTTCGTCTCGACTCTGTCGACTTAATACTATTAACAATCCGAATTCGATTTAAAAGAGCATAGTGAAACTCTTCAGGTATATCATATTCCTCGATAACATTGTTTAAAATGTCCATATCCGTTTCTCCATATTGACGAATGTTATTAATAGAAATTAAAGTAACTCCTTCTCCAGTTTTAGTTCCACTAGTACTTGAAGCACTATCTTTCCTTTTTCCTTTTTGAGGTGTGGATGTAACGGACCCGGCAACATCACCTTTCTTATCGCCTGTTGTTTCTGCAGCTTCTGATGGTGTTAAATGACGATAAAATTGATAATTTAAGGTTGCTAATTCTTCTGGGATTTTGACTTCATCAGACGCAAGCTGCGCCATTTCGAGATCATACTCCTTTGTAGCCCAATTGTGAGCCAAAGTTAAAATTCGATCCTGAGAAATGTTAAAATTGGTACGAAGAGCACGTTGATTACTGAGACGTTGTGCAGGTCGGAGTATCAAACGTAATAACACCTCTAAAACACCCAAGTCACTTGTATTTAACAAGTCATTAAGATGCTACAAGAAGATTAATTTAATTAATTCCACTTTTATTCTTTTGATACGAATGAAGATGAATAAATAAGTTTAGATTATTAAATGACATACTTCGTATGAACTATATAAGTTTCTGTTTGTGCAGTTTTCCAGTAACATTCGCGAAAATTTTAGTATAGAAAGTAAAGTACTGCGCGTTCCTTCGGTAAAGTTTACTGTCTGCAATTTTTTAAGTTTGTAAGTTTGACAAATATTCTCAAGAATGTTATCAAAGCGGTTTAGTACAGCAATCCAGTGAAAGAGATCTCCTCGTGGATAATTCCATTCTTTAATAGAATCCACCGTGGCTGTTATTTCCTCTTCGTGACATTCGGTGAGCTTTTGAATAAGACTTTTGATAGGCGGTATCTATGAAGAAAAAATACGTAGTTATAAAAAAAAAATTTTTTTTAAATATTATATTTTATTGCTAAAGCAAGAAGAAAACTTTGATCCGTCAATCCATTAATGCACAAGACTAGCTAAAAACTTTACTATTTTCACGCAGCTAGCTTAAAAATTTTTTTTTAAATGTGGAAACTAACACTAAAGAAAATTCTTTGAAGTATTACACTCATAAGCAAAGAAAAAAAAAAGAAGTACTCACTGGTGCCGCTAATTTCTTTGGTGGGGTTTTTTTGATTTTCATTATTATTGCTTGATCTAAACAAGCTATTTGTTAATAAAGAGTAGAAATTAAAAAACTTTTTAGAAATATCGTCAAAAACTGTTTTGCACGCGTGTTTGTGTTAATCAAAATAACATAAAGGTAGAATCAAGTTTTCCAAGTTTCCCAACCCTTAGAAAGACACAAACGACTACGAGCTTGGTAAGATAATAAACGAACCAGTGTTGTAGTCAGTTCATATATGGCAAGTGTGTAGGTGATGCTTGATTGAACGTAGTAACTTACGTAACCGTTTAATGATAACAATAGCAGATAGAAAAATATCTTGGTGTAATGATTATGTCGAATCAAATGATTTATAGTCCATTTTTCGGAACATTTGATGTTTTTTTAATCCGATAAATTTCTTTTGTTACTGAAAATGGCAAATTTCTTAAAGAATTACCTCATATATTTCCATATGATAATAAATTAATAATACTTTTCTACCATAATTTCATTTAGAAAAAAATGTCAATTTAATAACAAGATTATTAAAATTTAGTTACCAAAGCCAATTTTTATTAAATTTTTGATAACAAAGTTATTATCATTTAATATTATGTTGTATTTTACCTTTTTATAATTACTAAATGTTAAATAATTTAATAAAAACATATATATTAATATTTAAAATACTTATATATTTATCTGGAAGTTATAGTTGTAAGTTGTACTTAATTTTATGTAATTAAACACTAAAATACTTATATTATCAGTTATATACTGAAAATAAGTAATGCAATAATGGTATTAACTTAAGCAAATATTCAAATATTTTTGTATTATAATTATAACTTAAACTGAAATTCATATCTTGAGTATGATTCAGTTCAAAAGCTCGGTTCAGTAAACTGAACTGAATTGGTTTATTTCAAAAGCTTAATTTGAAGTTTGAACCAAATTATAGAATATTTATATTATTAAATTATATAATATCTAATTAAAATTTTACAATTTAGATCTTTAAGAATCATAGTAAAAAATAAAATTAAATAATATCAATCATATAATTCTCATTAAATAAATATTAAGAATATATTAGTATATATATATTTAAATTAAAGAAATATTTTATATTGAAAACTACTAGTAAATATATATTTTAGTAAATAAGAATTTAATATATATATGATATTAAATATAATATAATAACTTATTATAAATAAAGAAAGTATTAAATACATAAATAATTTAATTGCCAGTTTACCACTCAATAAAACAGACTTTTATATGTTAAATACTATTTCTTTAGAATAATATTTAAAATGTATTATAACAATATAAATACTTCAAAAATTTGCTAGAAAAAAGTATTACATTATCCAGATATGTTTTCAAAACTGGTAGAATCAAAAAAAACTAAAAAAAAAAAAATTTTTTTTATTATTTTATTAATAAAATTTGTAAAATTTATGTATAAAAAATCTTAATTTAAGGTGAAATGATAACTTTCTTTAAAGATAAACTTTGTTAATTTTATATTAAAATTCCAAATAATAAAAAATTTTTTTTATAACTTATTCATATTTAATATTATTGATTAGTGAATCATCATTATATTTAAATATGATCTAATCTTGTAAAACAAAATTAGCATCAAAATATACCAATTAATATAATTTATATAAAATTTATGACATTAATATTCTTTGTATTACTTTAAAGTCCAAAATATCAGAAACTATTTAACAGGCATTTTTTTTAATAGAGCAATTCAAACTTCATTATTTCAATTCTGCAAAATCCATTTATTAAAATCAATTAACATGATTACCATTATATATTTCTTTTGCATTTTAATTTTTATCACAATAAGATATCCTTATTTTACTAGATTCATCAAGATGTTGAGTTACATCATAATAAAAGGATATTATAAACAATAATTTTGCAAATATTAACTTTACTTATTAATAAATATTCAGTCATAACTGTTGAAATATTTTTTATTAGTACAAGTTCAGATTTCTTAATCTTCTACTGCTGCAATTTTTGTAATGCATGACTTTTCTTAAAAAACGTAAATAACATAAGTCAGAAATTATTAGAATTTAATCTAGTGATAATCTTAGTATAAATGACCTATTTCTTGCTTTTTGAGATAAACAGCTGGATTTGTATATTAAGGAGTTTTATTTGTATCGCAGATGGTATAACTGATAATTGGTATATTGATTTTAGATGTTTTTTGCAATGATTGGCTTATATTGACTGGAGTTATTATTCTGATAGATTCATATGATTTCTTTTCCACCATCTATCTCAAACATATGATAAGATTTTATTTTTAAATATTAGTAAAAGTGAAAAAAAACTAAAAAAAACTGTCTAAAAAGTCCTTATTTAAAACTTTAAGTTTTTAAATATATCTGAACTAGCCGTTAACCTGTTACTTTGCAATGGTATATATATATATAAAAAAGCGTGACCTACATGTAACAATTAATTCTGGCCAGAATTATATGATCAGTGCAGAAACTTCCAACAACAAAAAGAACATGAAGCAAGGGAAGTTAAACGTCTTGCTTATGATGAAGAACTTTCTATCAGAGCAAAGCTCTGGGGTACTTCCTCCAACCGTATAGAATTCCGTGAAGAAATGTGTAAAGATCTTAGTAATTTTCAAGATCATTTCCACAAGAAAATCACCCCCCTTATTGACCGTCGTTCCGTCCTTCAAAATAGACTTACACAAAAGAAAAACATATACAAAACTAACAAACAATTGCTCCAACTAGAGTATGAATTAGGTCGTTTTAATATCGACTATTTTTCGGTCATAGATGACAACGGACCCCATTATCGTTACAAAGGACACACGTCAGAAGACACAAAATTACTTGAACTCAGACCACACAAACGTCTTCCTAACCTATCTACAAATATAGATAGGCACACCGTAGAGATCAAAAAATTGAGACTAGATATCATGTCTCCTGATGACTCTAAAGTCTTCACTTCGCCTTAACCCCATTCAGATACAACTATCAGTTTTCTTTTTTTTTTTTTTTTTGTGGCACGCTGATAGTCATAGACTTACATTATTTTAGCCACATTTTTACTATTGACTTGTATTTTATTACATCTTTTTTTTTTTGAGTAACCCCCACGTACAACTTTTATACCAACGTACAACAATTAGAATAGTGTGAACCACTCCACCTATTACAGTATTTACAGGTGGCGGTCTTTAATGACCGAAAGAAAAATACGGATCGTTTCTTTTTTAGATGTGATTGTCAAAAGCCTTTACTTTGGTTATTAGGGATGTGATGTCGTGTTAGGGACTCCCCCGGATTCGTCAAAAGTACCAGAGTGGCGCTGTCCTCAGGCGATTTGATTATAGCTTAGTATCAGATAGCGTTCGACATTTGTATTATCTTTTGTTCTTGTCTATCTTTCTATAATCTTGTTCACGTGGTTTTAAAAATAAAAATAAAAATAAAAATAAAATCAGTGCAGAAACTTCCTTTTTTAGAATATTTGTGAAACCAAATCCCCTATTTTTGTGAGAAGCAAAATTTCCTTTTTTGGAAGTTGGTGTAATGTCACGTGATAAAGTACCCAATGGGAACGATGTTATACAATTCAAATTTATTTATACAGAGTAGTCTAAACGTTACAGTTACACACAAAAACAATTATTATATAGTATAAATATCGATATTTGTCAAATAATGTAAAAAAATATTCATATAGCTCTTGAAAAAGCTCACACTATAGGGTTTGATATTTTCCAGTCAAGCTAGTATTGCAAAAGTTTTTCAGTAATACTTTAAAAGCCTTTATAAGATCTTTCCTATTAAGTTCACCTATAAATTCTAAAATTCCATCAAAGGTGAAAGTGATATTGTTAACAAAGGAACTTATTTTTTATAGTTTTATATTTAATAAAAATGTTTGCTAAAATTTTGTAAAAAAAAATGGTCTATATAATTAGCGAAAAGAATTCTCTCATTTTTAATAATATCTTTTATTTATTATAATTTATATTTTTTGAAAATTTAGGTAAAATTATATAATTATATAAAAATTATTAGTATTTAAATTAAATTATGTTAAAATTAATTTTATATAAAAATATAAATAAAACTTTATATAAGCCAATTTAAACTAAATTAAATTAAAGTTTAAATCAGTTATAATAATCAAGTTTAATTTATTTTAAACTAATTTCAAATGAAATTTTAAATATAAAATAAATTATAATTTAATTAAAATTTTTTTTATATATTTATATAAAATATAAAGATATATAAAATTTTATATTTTTTTAATTGCAGCACATTTGCAATTTTATTAAAGTAGATAAATAAAAAGAATATAAATACAAAGTATTATTCTAAAACTACCTTAATATAATTAAACTACAAATTACTCATCATACGTAAAGTACCTTATATGTGTACTGTCAAGTGATCGTTAGACTTTGTAAGTAAATTATATTTATAATACATTATCTTAGCCTTAAGGCCCTATTTTCAATATCAAGTGATCACAGGATCCACTATGCTGCAAATTTAATTTTAGTATTAGATGTAGATTCATGTTATACTGCGATTTTCCTGAATTTCTAAACTGACAAAATCCCAATAATGAATAATTAAAATAAATATTTCTTGCATTTACTCATACATTCCTTAAAGCTTAATAATTTTTGGTCATATAAGAACCCTGAACATTACTAAAAAACTCAAATCTGAATTTGTATAAACTTTATAATTAATTTCTATTCCAAATGTATAAAGTTATATGTAGATTTTAGCTTCAAATTTTTGCTATCTTGGAATTCAGTAATTGGATTTTAATGATCTTTGGCTTGTTAAATTCGTCTCAACAAGATGACATTTTGATATATAATTTATCTTTTTAAGTATAATATTAATTGAAATATCACATTTTAAAATTTTAATTACACAGAATTTGGGTTGTTTTAGTAATGTTTGGGGTTCTGTTACATATATCCATAAACTGGTATTAATAAGATGCAAGTTGCATATGTGGATTATTATTTAATGACTTCATCAATTTAATATTTGTCAGATGGATTTATATTTATTAAAATTTCAAGTTCCAACATTTTTGTACATCATGATTTCTATGCAAATTTCCTGAAAACTATTTGGAAGTATTTAATGATTTTTAATGTTAAGGATCTAGTTATAGATCTTAATGTAAATATTCTTGATTTTTAATGATCATATGCAAAATTAATTCTTTTAAAAGTTCACATCTATTTCTTTATTTGAGTTTGAGAAAGGCTGAATTACGGTATTCAAAAATGCTATAGTTGAGATTCATGATGGTGAAAGAATGGTTACATTTAAATCATTTAAGATATTTTTATATTTTATTTGTAACTTTTTCTTCTACAAGTATGAACCCTGTTCTGAATCTGAGCATATCACCAAGTGTTTTAAAGTTTCATCATGATCATAGTATATTAGACATGAAAAATCCTTATAATATATATTATTATGCTTTTTGAGATTATCAACTGTAAGTAATAAATTATTTAAAAAATTAATTAAAGTGTTATTAGTATTAAAATTATTGCAGTGTTCTTTGTTAATATTATTAAGATAATGCCAGTGAGAGGATCATTTCCATTTACCAAATTCATTTTGCTGATAATCAAATATATTTCTCCAATGTAAATGCAATATATTTTTTCTTTATATAATTCTTTAATAATAATATAATTATTTATAAACATATGAGCTGATTTATTTATTCTGCATTAAAAAGAATTATTGATTTAATTTTCACAATTTTCATTACATAAAATTGTTTTGTAATATCAAAAATCATCTGATTAATGATCACTTGACTAAATAATAAGTTGAACAAAAATTTACATTTGCAAAACTTAAATTATTAAATGTAAAAGAGATGTGAAAAACCCCATTTTACTAATAAAAATCCATCTCTTATATATATGAAATTTTTAATATATATTATTAAAAAGTAAGTATATTTTAATAAAATATAAAGTAAAATAAAAATTTATATAGTTTTAGTAGCTATAAATGTTTATAAAAGTATAATAAAAACATCATATAAAAGATAGTATCATAATAGATATTTTTAAATAATAAAAATAATTATTTTATATCAGAGTTTGTATTACCATCTTTAAATGCAAATATATCAAAATTCGCTGATCCATTTTCTATAATTTTAGATTCATTAGAAAGCCTTTTTTTCAGACTTTATAGGCGAAAAAAAGCTTGCCAATTGCGTCTGAGTGTATATACCAATGTATACATTACCGTATTCGCATTTTGATTGAATTTACATTTTGTTTTATAGTGTAACCCTAGTAAATTAGTTGATAATAATACACTTATTAGTGTTTAATATAGTTTATTTCACTATGCGTTATTTAACATTTAATTTATTCATTAATCCTTTTACTTGCTATATTTATATATAGTGTTTTGAACAGATCAAATCAAATCAGATTTGAGATGAATTTGATCTAATCCAAATTAGGATCAAAAATAATTGGAAGTTTGAAAGTGATCCGATCTGAATCAGAAATTAAAAAAACATTTTACAACATTTTTTTAAAGATTTATTTAATAAAAAATGTTGCACAACAGTTTTTATTAAATTCGTTAAAAAACTATTTTGCAACAGTTTTTTAAATCATTAGATTCAGAGATATTTACATCTAAAGTTAAGATATAAACTTTTTAACATGCTTAAATGCAAATATCTTGAGATCCACTAATTTGTTTTTTATAAATTTAGGCTTTTTAAAAAGCCCTTAATCTGGATTATATGAGTGAAAAAAGAGCTTGCCAATTGTATTATTGAATCTGGAGATATTTACGTTTAAAGTTGAGATACAAATTTTTAATATATATAGTAAATGCTAAGAGCCAATTATATTATTTTAAAAGAAATATTTACCAAATTATAGTATAATAATATTAAATAAAATTTTTAATACTTACCCCCAATTTACTATATATTATATAGTATTTTGTATAATAAAAATGTAACAAAATCAATATTTTAATTAAAGATAAACAAATCAGCTTATATGAAATAAAATATTAAATAATATATTTATCATATTGGCACATTTGCATAATTATATATCATTTAACTATAATAAATTTATTATAGAAATATAAAAATTCAGTTCTTTAATTAATTTACTATATTTATATAGGCTTTTTGCAATAAAAAGGGAGGAAATTGCTAAAAAAAAATTTTTTTAGTTAATATTAATTTTGAACAAATTATAATATTTGAAGCATTTTTAGTATATAAATATAAATTTAATTTTTTTGGTAGTTTCCTTTTTTCCTCTCTTTCTATTGTAAAGAATCTATATAATTAAAGTTAACAATTATTATAAATGTTAATTAACTAGAATTGTTTACCTAAACTTATTTAGGATTTAGCTAAATATCTAATTTTATTTGTCTTTCATTATAATTTTACTAAATAAAAAAAACTTTTAATTAAACTATTTTCAAATAATTAATTTTATCAATAAATCTTTAAATATTATATCTGAATTTTTGTAATTAATCATTTATTAAATATTTCTTTTAAATAAAATTAATTGTAATTTATATTATTAAATTTATATCTGAAAATCATAAATTTATTTTTTGTAAAAATTTACTTAACTGTATTACATCATATTCTAAAATATCATAAAAAAAATCTATAAATGTCAAAATTTTCCAAAATATTAATTTATTATATAATTCTAGTTCTCTATCATTTTTCACTTCTTTAAAAATTTGCAATAATGCAAAAATTGAATTACAAATATTTTCAGTTTTACATATTTTTTAACTGCAGATTTTTTGAAATATTTGCTGCTCTTTCTGTAGTAATTAATGATACAAATTATATAAAATATTTTTTTATTATTATTATCATAATATAACTAAAAAAATTCTATCTAATAACTATTTAATTTTAAATGTTTTATTAAAATTA